TAAATTAAACTTATAGAAAAAGATGATATTTTTTAAAAACGAGTGTCAAAAGTTTATACACATGACTGTATGGATTATACTTGTTTTTTTTATCAAAAAATGTATTACCCTTTCTCTTTCAAAAATACATATGTATATTATATCATTAGCTCTTTCATGTTTTTACCCTTTTTTTAGCAGCTGTTTTTTACGTTATCAAACTTTGTCAAGGGTGAAAACAAGAATTTAAGGACGTTTCTCTGAACGACTGCATTATTCGAAATGTAAACATATCGGGATTGTGTTTTTCTATATATTATTTATTTGAACATACCATTTTTAGATTTAATTTTGGATAACTACGTTACTGAGTAGATATTACCGTGGTGTAATCCAATACTAGGTAGCATATAGAGTAGGTAGTTATTTCCTGCATTTTCAGCAGTTAGCAATTTTGTCTGTGAGGTTGGATATCTTTTGCATATCTTGATTTCTGATTGTTCAACTTCATTTGATAAGATCTTTAAAAATTATCTTTTTAAATTTGTTGGAATTAGCTCAATACCTTTAAAAAAGTGTAAAAACTGTTAGGTATTATATGATCTATTATACGTTTGTCCCAAGAAGACACGAAACCCCAGATACCTTTTCAGTATTGAGACCAATAAAAAAAATTTCAGATAAAAGTTGTAGGATATCAAGAAGCTAATATGCTAGTTTTCTTCGATTTAACCTTAACCTTAAGTTTCAAGGTCAAAGCAAGGTCAACTTAAAAATATTAAATCTAAAAAATATAAAACTTTTTTGATACAACTCAATCCTGAAAATACAAAACTTTTTTGATACAACTCAATCCTGAAAAGTTATCGGGGAGCTAGAGTCTTTTTATGTCCCTGTATGTATTTTTGGTATATTGATGCTCCTTCAAATAAAAACCGTGAATTCATATTTGTTTTTATTTATTTGTATCGATATGTTCACAAATTAGTACTTACACTTAGGTGCTTAGGTATTGCTCTCTAATATTTACTTAATAAAAAAAAATGATTGAACATTTTAATTTTGATTACAATATTTAAAAATAAATATTTTCATCTTTTTAACACTAATTATTGTGTTGCTACAAAAAAGAAATCAGAAATGCCTAGGAAGTTGGCCTTGACTTCATACATCGTATTGTCGTTGAACCAGATTTTCCCTTTGCTTTTTGGACATTGGGGCCACATATTGGGCAGTGATTTATATTAGGCTTTTTTTCGCGAGTGAAGTCGTATGTTGTAGTATGTGTAGTATGAGTGAATATTACGTTTTTGCGAGAATAGTCAGTCATTTAAACTACTATGTGACGTTACAAGTTTAGATCAAATGACTGAACTCTTCACCCTTCAGCTGAATATTCTGTTGGTATATTCAACTAGTATTGTCAGCCGGTAACTTAACCTTTTTCTTTTTGACATTTTGTTTGAATGAGGATAAAAATCGTTCAGCAAAATGATGGATTCTGATACGACTGTGGAAGTGGTCAGTTTAAATTTAAACTTTAGAGGCACATATGTTTTAGTAAACGTAGACGTTGAAACAGCAAATATTTTACTTAATGGTAAGATTAATTTTTTATATGGGACATATTTGCGATCCACTTTGCTTCAGGATTATCCTCTTTTTTTGTGACCTAGGCCAGAGATAATATTGGTGGAATCATTTGTAATTCAGGTTTTTTTCGTATGAATTACATAAAAAAACGAATATATGATATGATTCTCTAAACTTATAACATAAATAAGGAACATCATCATCCTTATTCCACAAAAATATCAAAAAATATAGAGCCATGTCACAATTTCTGTTTTGTAGCCATTGACATAAATGATCAAATTCCATTCTCTTACGATAATGATTATGTCGAATATTCGCATATCTTGCAACATCAGAATCTACATACTTTTCACGCTTTTTAAATTTGCCACTTAAAAATATTCCAAAGAAAGCATTGATATATTCCTTCAGTTATATTTGAAGCAAATACATATATTATATAGTGTGATAACACCAATTTCCACAACACTAGATTACTGGAAGCAATAAAGGATGACAAATTATGGTTATTGGTTAGAAGTTAGAACCCATATGTCAAAGTCGTCAAAGTACATATGACATGCTGCACCACTGCTGCAGTGAATAGTGAATATATACATTTTCGCGATCTGTTCAGGTTAGACAAGGTTAGAAATAAGATTAAAAGAGATAGAAACAGTAACTACAAGTCAGACGTAGTCACCAATATTCACTCGCGAAAAAAAGCCTTTTATCTACCTCTAATATGGCGGAAACAGGCATTTTTAACAAATTCCTCGTGTATTGCCTGCGGCACTTGGTCTCTCTCTCTCATGTATTTCGTGGGATCTTCACTCTAGAATTTTACAACATCTGGATAGTTGGGGCGCTAGAATTGAGGTCCAGACGGGAAGCAAAGAGCTCACAAAAATTTACTAAAATTTTTAACAACCTTTCGAATTGTAAACATGAGCAATATATTAACAGTAAATGAGTATGGTAGTAGCGTAGGTTTGTAGTAATTGACTGTATTTGTGGCAGGCGACTATTGGAAGGTTGTAGGTTCTTAATAACTTGCTGGCCCCAGGAACTTTCCTTCAGCAACCTAACGGTATGTTTTTCAACCCTCATTGTTGAATTTAGGTATTACACCGTAAAACCACTGAGAAAAGCAGGGTTTATATGAAAATTATAGTTAAATTTATAGAGACATCATTATACAACTTCCTCCGTTGTAATAGTCTACTTACTTATCCTTTTAATATGGACCAACAGTTATTTTCTAGTAACACTTATAAACAAACAATAACTGAGATACTATTTGTCGCAGTCGTCATATAGCGATTGTGACTGCTTTCTTTTATTCACCATAAATACAATGGTGACATCATTAAGCGGTTTGCAAATAAAAAAGAGGAGTGAATTTTGTAAATAATTTTTTTTGTTTATTGTTTATGAGGGAATTTTTTTGTTTATTTTTTATATTTTTATATAATATATATACAATTGCTTTTTTCCTGTATTGTAATAGTTTATTATTTGTTTTTTATAATAAAAAGGAAGAGAAAAACATTAGGAACATGCTAAGATCTACAAATATTAAAAAACTATACAACCCTTGCAAAAAGAAAGGGTTATTATACAAAAATATACAAAGTAGACTAAATACAAAAAATATGAAAACAATATTACCTATAATATAGATGCTTACACTACACCTACAGGAGCTTTATATGCTTCTGAGATGGGTCAGATGGGGAATATAAAATAATCACCTCCTTCTTTATTAATGTATATTTCATTTCATATTTTAATACAGATAGAATTTTTTTCGAAACAGTATTTGAACCGTGTTCAATTCTCTAATTTTTTGGTGAAACTACATTCTGTTGGTTGGTACCCATTTGACATTCTCAATCCATTATAGGTAGCTTATAAACTCAATGTCTCAAACATTCACAAATTTCAATGAGCATGTGTTTGACATTTTTATCACACATATTGTATTTTTGATAAATGACTAAAATTGAAAATTTAACATAAAATACAAAGCATATGTTATTATGTCAATAGGTACATGTACGAGTATAAAGTAGCAATGGCATTTAAAGATATGACATGCTTTGTAATTGTTAAATGTAATTATTTATGTGTCTTATCTGATAATTATGTATATCACTACGTAACTGACGATTAGTTGATAAATATTTGAGCAATAAATTATTTAAGTAATAATTTATGCAAAAATATTAAGGTTTTTAATTTTATATAAACTCTAATAGGCAATCAGCATAAAGTCGTTTGCATACTTATACTATACTTGTATATCTTGAGTTGTTCCAAGTGCATTAGAATTAGTTTCCAACAGTCCGACGCAATCGCATTTGATTCAAAACAATGAATTTTGAACCTTATGTAAGCATTATATCCATATGCGCATGCGTCTGAGTGATGAAAACTGTTTTGGATTCTACTAGGAACAAAGCTATTATACTGTTATACATCAAAAGTTTTGAATAAGGTGTTAAATTTTTACTTATTCGATAAGAGAATGTATTCCTATTTTTCTAATTTACTAATTCCATTAATCCCTCCAATTCAAACAAAATGCTGCATGCGCCACTGGTATTTCATCAGACTTTTTTTTATATAATTTTAAATAATGTTGATTATTATAATATTAATTTATGTAAATATTAATTTCTAACAAGGAAAAGGCATCAATAAAAAATAAGAATAGGTATTCTGATTCCTCTTGAATTTTTCTCCACATCATTGGTGCAAGCTGCAACCAGTAATGCACGTATCTAATAAAATGCAGATTGCCTTTTATTCTCTTAGATTAATACAAAATTGCTGTTTTATTAATTAAGATTATTTAAATAACTAATACAGATAAATAAAATATGGCTAAATAGTATTAGAAAAAGAAAATATTTTACCGTTCTCTATCCCCGTATTAACATTAGATAGGTATAGTTTTAAATCTAAATATGTCCATCTAAATATGTCCTTATATTAATTATAACGTAAATATTGAACTAAAATAGAACTTCAATTTATATAAGTTTTATATCTATTTTTATACTCATATCCAGTGATACCATATACCTTTGTGGGGTTCCAAGAAAATTTAAATTTGGGGTATCTGGATTTGGAATTCAAATTCAAACTGTTTCAATATGCTTTAGTCTGTAACTCTCTTTATTATTGGGGACCTTAGGCAAACACTCATTTCATTAGATAATCGGTTACTGTTAATAGTTATGTATTTAATGTGCAGCTAATAATTAAAAAAATTTCTATAAAATATTTTAGTAAATATTTATCACAATTTAACCACTCCTGTAATTTTAGAAGTAATTTATTTATCTGTTACTCATTGTTTGTGAAAAAATTATATATTTTTTATATGCCTTTTTCAGATAACCCAATAACAATTAATTTCTAGTTATACGACGGCTCACCTCCATTTGGACTTCTTACTCCTGATGCTCTTGACCGCTTACTACTAAAAATATTTCTTCTAAACTGTGCTGGATCAACAATTTTCTTTTTACGGCGCAAGTATCTTGCTAATACACCAACAACTACCACACTAGCCGATAATGAAACTACAAGTACCTGTAAGAATTAAACATTTTATAAATATTATGATGAAAGTAGTAATAAACTTACTTTTTGTGTAGTTGACAATGTAACACGTTGGGGTAATAATTGACGGAAATTATTAAAATGATATTTTAAATGTCCTAAATGTATTAAAAAAGACATTATATAAATAACAATATTTTAGGTTATAATTTAGATATTTTGGTTATGTTTACGCGCACACACATTTACTCACTAATGATAATTAGTTATAAAGAACTATTCGAAAATATAAAAAGTTTTATAAAAAAAATAATATAAATAATTTCATTTACAGTAGTTTGTTTCCTAGATAAATTAAAAATCCCGGTAAGAACAAAATATCGAACGCGAATTGACCAACAGAGTTTAGGAAACTATCAAACGCAAAGGCTAAACCACATGATACAAAATAATGTATTTTTAATCTTTATTTTGTACTCAAGCATACCTATACGTATTATACCACATCACGATGATTATAATTTTTACGTTGTCACATATGTTATTATTATTACTGCTGTGTTTTCAAATAGGATATTTTTATAGAAAAGTTTTAAATTTATGAATTTAGGTATATTACTGTGATTTATAAATTTATGGCTATAATTATTTGCAGTTTTTTTTTAATATCATTATGCTCTTATACTTTTATATTCACATCACCGTGGGTAGATCAGTAAAAATATAGTCATTTGGAAATTGCTTGCTAGTTATCTAAACTATTTTTATTATCTGAAAATTTAAATTTCTATATTTTTATTGTATGTAGGATATAATTAACTTTTTTCTATTTATATATGAATCATATCGATATATTCTTTTTATCATAATCACTAAATTTTGTAAATTTCGATAGTTATAGGATAGGGCCTTACCTAGTTTTGGCAAATGTTTTACACTCCTTTTCCAGTGGTAGTGGTAGTGAAGAAATTGTAGCAACTTGAGGAATGGAAAGATGGCTTTAGCTTACAATCCTTGATAACATGATAACATAACCTCAAAATTAGCAAAACAAGTGACTTCAAATCAAACGTATTTGAATTGGTTTATTCTATAGATTTAATAGTGTCAGCATTGTTGAATTTTGAAAATGCAACTTAAAGATGAAAATAAAAAGGACTCAGCAGAAATTATTTTCGTAAGTATTTAATGTATTTCTCATAACCTACATATACTTAAGTGTTTTTAATTTGATTTTAGGCTGATGATGATTTGCCTTATGAAGAGGAAATTTTAAGAAATCCATATTCAGTGAAACACTGGCTAAGATATATTGATCATAAGAAAACAGCACCTAGGTATGGGGTTAATATAATATATGAACGAGCTTTAAAAGAATTACCGGGTTCTTATAAACTCTGGTATAATTATTTACGTATACGAAGAAAACAAGTGAAAAGCCGCTGTATTACAGATCCTGGGTATGAAGAAGTTAATAATGCATTTGAACGTGCCTTAGTATTTATGCACAAGATGCCAAGAATATGGATGGATTATTGTACATTTTTAACTGACCAGTGCAAAATTACAAGAACCAGAAAAGTATTTGACCGTGCTTTAAGAGCATTACCTGTAACACAGCATTATAGAATTTGGCCGTTATATTTAAAATTTGTTAAGAAGCATAATATATCTGAAACTGCTCTAAGAGTTTTTCGTAGATATTTAAAACTATCCCCTGAAAATGCTGAAGAATATGTTGATTACTTAACTGAAACTGGAAAACTTGATGAAGCTGCATTAGTATTGGCAAAGATTGTCAATGATGAAAATTTTATTTCACAACATGGAAAATCTAAACATCAATTATGGAATGAGCTGTGTGAACTTATCTCTAAAAACCCTGACGAAGTTCGATCATTAAATGTAGACGCTATTATTAGAGGAGGTTTGAGACGTTATACAGATCAATTAGGGCATTTGTGGAATTCGCTCGCGAATTATTATGTCCGCAGTGGTTTATTTGAAAGGGCAAGGGATATATATGAAGAAGCTATTCAAACCGTTACCACAGTTCGAGATTTCACTCAGATATTTGATGCATACGCACAATTTGAGGAACTAAGTTTAAGTAAAAGAATGGAAGAAGTTGCCAATTTAACCAATCCTACCGAAGAGGATGATACTGACTTAGAATTAAGGTTGGCACGTTTTGAGCATTTAATGGAAAGAAGATTGCTACTTTTAAATTCTGTTTTGCTTAGGCAGAACCCCCATAATGTACAAGAATGGCATAAAAGGGTACAACTCTATGAAGGTACATGTGAACCATATTTTTTTTTAAATCTCAACCAGAATAATTTATAAAAATATGGTTTAAAATTTTCATTTTAAAATTAATCTATTACTTAAACTTACTTGCCTTAAATTTATGTTGTGTTAATCAGAAAATATTTAATTACATATTATTTTATATACCTACCTATAATATTTTGTAAGTCTATCCGTTGACTTAATTTGCTAAACCAGTAAGTCCAAAATGTTCAGGGGACATAAAATCATTTTAAAAATATGCGTAATTCCATGAGCCAAATAAATTTTGTTCAAAATTACTTTAAATACCTATTCGGTCATTTTCTATTAAGGGTTTTTCAAAAGCATGTGTTAGGTCCCTCGTTATTTCTCAGGATATAAAAAATTTTTCTCGTTTTTTTTTTTTGGTTCTTGACATAATTAAATTGTATTTTAACAATTTGAAGAGATTTTTTTGTCATATACCTACCTAAACCAGTTGATACGAGTTCCTCAATGACGTCAACAGTTCAAATAGAATTTTTCCAAAGCAAATTCTAGACGGCCTGGAGTCCACAAGAAATTTTTACAGGAACTTTGGAAAACGGTTTACTTTGTTGAATTTTAGGCAAAACATATATCTTGTAAATAAATTTAATATGTTGAAAAATGTCATTTTTCGTTCTTTTCGTATATTTCTTATTTCCCTTAATTTACCAATGGTTTTTTGGAATAGGCAAACTCGGATTCTTATTCTACATAATATTTGGTATTTTTCTGTACCTACAACAAAATGGTTGACTTCATATAGTTTTTGAGATGTCACTAAAGTTACTTCAAGATACTTGAAACTTGTAATTTTAAAGCTCAGAAATTGATTAATTGGATTATTGTTTCAAACAATAGAATTGAACTCGAGATGTTTTGAGATTTAAGTTCAGTGTTAATTTGGTATTATTCTTGATTGATGTACGAAACCATATTACTTTATTTAGGAAATAAACTAAATGTAAAAAATACAACTTAGTATACTTTGATTAGACAAAAAAATATTTTAATGAAAATTAGAATTATAAAGTTTTAAAAAGTTTTATCAAGTATCAAGTTTGGGTGTATTTTATTTTTTTACATTACTTACTTAACTATTTAAAAAACCACTACATTAATGAAGAATGATGAAAAGTATCATATGATTATTATTTATGAAAAGTGTATACAAATTACTAGAGCAACAATAAAATTGTATGCTCTGTTATTTAAATTGAAGACATTAAGACAGACATTTTTTGAAAAATTAAAAAGAACTTTTTTATAATGTGGCAGTTTTGACTTAAAGATCAGTTACAAATAATCCTGGATCTACATGTATGCATGATCACGGGTCCGTTGTAACCACATGACAATCAACATCCAATTGTACATCAGTAAAGCGACTTAACAAACGATCAAAACGGATTGAATGTTGATGGTCATGTAGGTCCAGGTTAACTATCATACACAATTTGTAGTTAATTCTATTTTCCCATTTATAATTTACGATTTAAACTGATTTTAACAAATAATCAGCGTAAGGTTTAAAAAAGTAGTTTAAGAAGAAGACTTGATAAATTGCATCATTCAAAGTCTTAAAATATATCTTAAAAATATATTTTTTTCTCTAAACATTTTAAATTAAGTTTTATTGTTTGAAATGCAATTTATTTTTGAGTATTTGAAATTACTACGAGCTTCGTATCTTCCTCATGAAATGTCTTAGTAACTACTGAATTTTCAACATTTATTTGTAGGAGTGTAGGACCTAATTTGTTTAAAAGTTAATAGTAATGTAAATAAACCATTTTGCAAACTTTCTACAAAGGAAAATTTTGTTTTAACTCCAGTACCATTTACAATTTACGTGAGAAAAATATTTCTTGGACTCTTAATTAACATCATGGATACATAGCTATAATTTTTGCTTTAGCGACGTACGTACCAATTTACTGTTATAAAATTTGAATTGGTTTTGATGCAATTCTAAACATAAAAGGGTCATGATATGACAAAGATGATAATATTAGGTCTTTTTCCTGGGGTGGGCCGTACACACTCCCACCCCCTAGCTATGCCCTATACTCCGTATAGAAACATTAGTAAATAAAATTATAGGAAATACTTACCGAACACAGTACTTGAATATATTTTTTTATGTCAACACCATATCTTGAAAAGCAGTCTTTTTATTTTAAATCTGTTATTTGCATCTAAAGTATATTTTATTTGTTCTGGATATGTTTTCTACTTGCAATAGATGAAAAGGCAATGAGGTATATCTAGAGACAGAAAACACTGATTTTTTTCTTTGGTTTCTTTAATAATTTACATTCTTGTTTTAGGTAAACCTCATGAAATTATTAATACTTATACTGAAGCCGTTCAGACTGTTGATCCAAAATTAGCTGTTGGGAAACTGCATACTCTTTGGGTGGAATTTGCAAAATTTTATGAAAATAATGGACAAATCGACGATGCAAGATTAATTTTTGAAAAAGCAACTCATGTTCCTTTTGTAAAGGTTGATGATCTAGCTACTGTTTGGTGTGAATGGGCAGAAATGGAAATTAGAAATGAAAATTATGAGGAAGCTCTAAAATTAATGCATAAGGCCACTGTTTTACCTTCCCGTAAAGTAGCCTATCATGACGACAGTGAGACTGTTCAAGCAAGGCTGTACAAGTCACTTAAGGTTTGGTCTATGTATGCTGACTTAGAAGAAAGCTTTGGTACTTTTAAATCGTGTAAAGCTGTCTATGATAGGATTATCGATCTCAAAATAGCTACGCCTCAGATTATAATAAACTATGGAGTATTTCTTGAAGAAAACTGTTATTTTGAAGAGGCTTTCCAAGCATATGAAAAGGGTATTTCCTTATTTAAATGGCCAAATGTTTATGATATATGGAACACATATCTAACAAAATTCTTAAAACGCTACGGAGGAAGTAAATTAGAAAGAGCTAGAGATTTATTTGAACAGTGTCTTGAAAATTGTCCTCCTCAGTTTGCTAAACATTTATACTTGTTATATGCTAAATTGGAAGAAGAATATGGAATGGCTAGGCATGCTATGGCTGTTTATGAGAGAGCAACAAAGGCTGTACCTGAACAAGAAATGTTTGAAGTATTCAATATATACATTAAACGAGCTGCCGAAATTTATGGGATCCCCAAAACCAGACAGATTTATGAAAGGGCAATTGAAGTATTACCAGAAGATAAAACCAGAGATATGTGCATACGGTTTGCTGATATGGAAACTAAACTAGGGGAAATTGACCGAGCTAGAGCTATTTACGCACATTGCAGCCAAATCTGCGATCCTAGAGTTACAAATGAATTTTGGCAAATTTGGAAAGAATTTGAAGTTAGGCACGGAAATGAAGACACGATGCGGGAAATGTTGAGGATAAAACGTAGTGTGCAGGCTATGTATAATACACAGGTTAATATGATGTCAGCTCAAATGCTGAGTTCGGCAAGTTCTATAGCAGGAACTGTGGCAGACTTGGCACCAGGCGTTAAGGACGGTATGCGATTATTAGAAGCGAAAGCAGTAGAAATGGCAGGTACATCTGCAACGACTGCCAAGCCGGGAAATATAATGTTTGTCAGGGGCGAGACTCAAGGAAATGCTAAAGATAAGGTAGTGAATCCTGATGAAATAGATATTGATGAAGATGACGAAGATGAAGAGATGGAAGAGGATGTGCCAGTAGAAAAACAAAATATTCCATCAGAGGTGTTTGGAAGTCTGAAAAAGCAAGATGAAGATGACTGAATTGTAGTTGTAAGAAAAGTAAGAATTCCAACTGTTTCTAGAGGGTGTCGGGAAACAAAGAGTTAAAACATTAAGAGACATTTTAACTCATAAAAATAATGGTGCAAGTTCCTATGAAACTTTTCTTTTTTAAAACACGTTATTCACAAGTTAACATAATCTCAAAGTAGTTTTTTTTATTAATATTTTATATATTCTGGTTAAGCAATTTTTTCCCAGTTTATTAAACTTATTACAGGCAATAAATTGCATCTACAAAACTAAATAAATAAATAAATAAACAAATTGCAGAGCCCTTTGAAATCAACTTGTTCTCTGTATCATTTCCAACCTTTTTAATTATTTATTTTTTTGTTAGTTGAAACTTTTTTAAAACTTGTAACAAAACTCATAATAGCACTTTTGGATGTAACTTTTAAATTTTTCTAATAATTAAATATCCTGTATATAGAGGTTGTTAGATCTCCGGGATTTGATGGTAGCAGGGAATTTTTATTTTTTATTTTCTCACACATTTACAAATAAAGAAGAGCTTCCTCTTCAAGACATTGTTGGACACACTGTATTATTTTAGAAAACATTTTCTTTTATATTTAAATTCGGCTTCATTTATACTGAAATGTAAAGAAATTTTAACTGTTTTAAGGGTGCCCCAAAAAATTAAATGTTTTTTTTTTCAGAACTAGTCATTGTTATCGATGTATGACTTTTCAATGGTCTTGAAAACTAAGCTGTTTAATTTTATGAAAAATTGGAAGAAAGAAGTTTTTTAGGCTTCAGAATTTTGGAGAATTTTTTTCATGAGTATAGTTTATTACCAATAATACAAATTATAAAGGACACACAATTAAAAAATAACAAATGGGAAAAAAGTTATCCCAAGATGTTTATTTAAGAAAAATAATATTTTGAGGTTTAAGTTGAGTTTCATAGGAAATTATTCTTATTCGTTAAATCACTTCTTAAATTTTTTGCTTACAGTTCCCACATATCCTCCATCATATTAGAATATAAAACTAAACTTAACTGTAAAACAAATAGAAAAAATATTGTGATAATAAATAGTAAAAAGTAACTCCTGTATTTGCGCATTTTTTTTCCTCAAAACAATAATAATTTTATTTGTGTAGAGGGATAGAAAGAGTCGGTGCTCACACGGACTGGTTTTTGTGCACATGCGCATAAGTCCACTACAGTACAAGTTGTAGGCCTTTGGACTGAGGGGGGAAAGCAACATATGGCCGTATGCGCGGTCTCCTCGTGGATTCAGAGCCATTAGAAAAAGTGTGGCACATATCTTACCAAAATTGGTCCATGTGTCTGTGCGGTAGGCAATGAAATACCTTATGGCTGCATGTGGTGGTTCTTTTTGTAGAGGAGGCTCGACTGAGCGAGATTCTTTGCACCTGTGCATTCCCGTTGAAAAGCGAACGGCTACAGATAGCGGAAAAATCGACATACAGTTGTATTCCCGACAAGATGATAGTTCGATTTTCCTCTATACTTTGATCGGCTGCATAGAAGCAAAAATCCGTTGGAAATGTCGATCGTCACCGCTACGGATGCGCACTGGGTGTTTTCAGATATAGTGGGTGCGGGTAGATTTTGTAAAAAAAAAAAAATTCTGTGCATGCACGATGATTTGATCACGATTTCTGGCCTAACGGTAGGTGTTACGGACTTGCGCCTCAGTGGCAGTGTTCTGTCGGTGGTTTGTGACATATCTGTCAATTTTGTTGAAAATCTGTCGATTTGTTTTTTAGGGGTAGATTTGGTCGAGGGGTTGTTTGAACCGAGACCTTCAAATGAAATTCTCTCTTGGTTTGCCAAAGAACCAACCTTAGAGGGGTGAAAACTACCCTCTGCAGGACAGGGTGTAGGAAGATGTGGGAAATCAAATTTTTCTTATTTTTTACTGCGCGATGGTTGCAGTGCACCGAGCAGAACAGCTTTCAACTGCTTTACGCATATCCGTCAAAGGGGTGGAAACTACCTAATTTGTTGACTCTTTATCGTTACACTATTGTTGTCTATTTTGTTACTATTTGTAGTTATTTCTTACGTTGAATTTTGAAGGCGTGTGTTAGAAGTGTGTGTCCAATTAAAGTATAGAATGCAGAGTTCGGATAAAAGGTTAAGGCAGACAAGGCCGAACAAGCTTTCACGACGCAGATCTGTGACCGGAAGGGTATAGAAGTAGAAGGGATACCAACCCCTTTGGGGAAGCCCTTGACAGTACTAAATGAGAGCACAAGGGTTGCAAAGTGCAACTTTCATACTTCTTTCCATAATGATATTGATTATCACTTTACCCCTATTTAAGGGACGTTTTCGGCTCCACACAAAAATTTAAGGGGTGTACGAATTTTTTTGACCTCGGATTCAGATTCAGTGTCAAAAAATACATAGAATACCATGGTCAGTCATTCAGATCACGACTTTTTTTTTGTGGGGTTGTGTAATCTGTTTAAATATCACATATAATCTATAACAGTTTAGATAATAAATTAAAGAACCTATACTCCGCGGTCGAAATTATAAAGACTGATTCAGACATAATATAAAAACACTATTACCGTAATGCGTATAAAATATAAAATGATTTTTATACGGTTCAATATTATTTATCTTTGTGCCGCTCGCTACGCACATCGATAGAATCTATAATCGTCTATAGACTGAGTTACACTTCGATCTGTATTCTATCTCTGACTTTTGTACTTGGTAGGGAATAGGGAAATGCTTTTTTAGTTGGGGTGTAAACGGACTTGATTTACGAGTCCTGAGAAACGTCAGCATAAGCGTAGATGAGGTGTCTAATTCTATGGCTATAATAAATTTATAAATTAAAAAAACACAACTGGGACGTTTTAAAATGCTGTAATAATTAAAATGGATCAAAGTGCCGGTTATAGCAAACCGTAAAAAATATTAGATGTTATGTTTTATTATCTTTTTTGATTATTTTCTATATCTTGTTGCCTTTTACACAGACACGCCAATGGATTTTCATTCCCGGCAAGCTTCATACCCCTTACTAGTCCAAAAGCTAGCGATATAACACTTATTCAATTTAGAAAATTATGTAAACTGTATTTTCTCAAAATGCAGTTTCTTGCTTTCCCGGTTGTGATAAATTTTTTATAAGGTTATATAAATGAATAGATAGATTAAGCAATAAATAACTCATATTACTAGTAATATTTATTTTCATAAAAACATAAAAATGTTTCATTGTTATATGAGCTAGTACAGAAATAGAAAACATGATTGAAAATATAAACTACAAATGACTAGACACATTAGTTAATGTGGCACAAATTATAGCTGATATTCAATATTGAATAACAAAGTTATGTAAAAATTGTAAAAGCACCTACAAGTATATACACAAGATTGTATATGAGAACATTTAAGTACTTGACTATTTTTAATGATTGCTTGTAATAGTAAAGAAACTTTTGCAGTGCTGTCTAATACATGTGATCTTTATTACCAGCTTGTATATATACTGTATACATTTACAGATGATAAGTTATAATATCCACAATGTCAACAATAAATTTATTACTTAACTCTTCCAGTGGTGACTACCTAGTTTAAAAATAGGTACAATTAAGCTACATTTATATACATACAATTAAGATTTTTTTTATCAACTTTTTCAGTACAGTGTAACACCAATTCTTTCAAAAACTCATACAATTCATTTTTTTGAATGTGTATATAATTTTCTACTCGGTTAAAATTTTTATAATAGAGGTATATAGGGTATGTCTTCTAAGGCCAAAATAGGATGACTGAGCAATTTCAGGACTGGTTGCCATATTTCTTCTAAAGATAGCAATATATTTCTTGAAAGGTCAACAACAAGCCTTAAAAATTATTTGACCACTGACAACTGCCCCGTAAACAAAGTTATAAGATGTCAAACTTTAAAATAGTTTTGTTAATATTTTGTACCGTTAAAGAAAAATATCACAAGTAATAATTTATTAAAGCATGTTTGGGTTCAATTTCCCTATTTTCACTACAGGTATCTTCCATTACGCATTATCCCGTTCTTAATGAAAAACTCCAAATACTTATTGGTATGAATGATGTCAAATTTCATTTCAACCATTCCATTGATTTCCGGTAATTAAAATTTATATTTTTAAATTTATCTTCGATGAGTTATATATTTTTTGCCTGAAGATAGATTAGTTGTACCTTTGACACTAGAAGCTATCACTGGTAACATTGTAACACAAAATGTCTTATATGTACTAACATTGAATTAACAATACATATTTTTGATAAAAAAATAAGGAAATATAAGAAACATCGTCATATCAACAAAAAACAGATTACTATTATACATATTCATGCACTTTTTGGTGAAATCATGATCCACCACAATCAATTCAATTTATACATACAATAAAATATATTCATATTTTTAAAAGTCAATCACATTAAAGTCAATCCTTGAAAGCTTTTACTGTATTGACATTAGGTGTAAATGTGCATAAAAATTAGTTGAAGAAGTTAACAAATTACTGAAACACTGCCTTTACCCTGGTCCCATAAATGGAGAAAAAATACCTTTTATTACCATAGCATATTTCAGATATTTTCAATTGCATTACTTTCTGTTTCATTACGCAATCAACTAACTAAAATTTTAGTAAAAAATAGTCAGACATGAAGATTATGCAATAATGCAAAGAACAATATTTATACCCTTTTCATTTGATTTTGACGTCAGTAAATATCTCATGAAACATAACAAATTATTAGCAACAGTTTTGTGAAGTATGAGGTTAGAAAATATAAATAAAACTTAAGAAGGGTGGAGACTGTCGAGATTAAATATTGTTAATTCTATTCTGCATTTACATTATACCTTGTGAATGTAGTAAATACTTCGTTGGTGAAGCTTCAAAACCTTTAAATTTCAGTCAGAGAATATAGGTACTATATTAGACAGGGAAAATTTGAAAAACTAATTTGTGAACGTGTGTGGCAAAACAGTTTTGTTATTCGATAGAATAACACAAAAATTCTGGAATAAGACAGTAAACAGTAAAAAGAAAACTTGTCATTATTATCATAATTATAACTTCAACAGTTAAAAATATATATTTTCTTTAAAAGTATTTCAGATTAATTTGAATGTCACCATTCTTACTGAAGATCAAAAATCCATTCCATCAAATTATAATGTTCCATTTGTCACTTTTACGAATTACTATTGTCAAGGTAAAATATTATTTAAGCTCCTTGTACTTAGCAAACACTGCAAATGTTAATTTAATATATGTATTGGCTTATTAACCGCTTAACGTGTTTAACACATTGTTTCTTTTTCTGTTAATCCGAGATAACTCGCACCTCTATCTTTTCACTAATAATTTTTGTACTTAACTGTATTGACATGTGCTAGAGCTAGAAGTTCCCACTACTGTTTTAAGTCGCTCAGTAATTATTGGTCTTGACTTATGTCCTTAGTAAATTCAGTTTCAACTCATTTCATTTTTCACCAGTCGCAGTCTACGCTAAAAAGTCGCTTGTAATGATTTTTTATATTGCTGCCTTGAAAAATGACTCAAATAGTGCTTTTAGTTTATGCCCTTTTGTGTGATCAACGAAGATATCATCACTGTGCCTTCAAAACGCATTGAGTGCAGAATCGATAAACATCAAATCACTTAATCTGGTTAAAAACAGTCATCTTATTTTCTACAGAATTGTGACTGTCTGCGATGAAATTAAAAATAATTGTTATAATTCTTAAATAAAAAAAGGCAAGAAACAGTTTTCTAACTCCACTGAACTATTTGATAATATACACATGTTGTATTTTGAAGGCGCAACAATATATTAATTAAATGATCTTATTAAATGATATTATACCACCAGAAAAGGCGGATTCTAGCAAGAAATACCTGTTTTATGTAAAGATTTTAGTGTTCTATAACAATAGTGTGTCTAATTTAGAACATCTTGAAAGATAAAAAAAAATTAAACCAGAACTAGCAAGTCCATCCGCAAAACCAAATCTCTAAATAAAAAAAAAACTGCAATATGTAGATATATTTGTGCATACTCGGAAATGGAAACTGCACGTCAAATTTGAACAAAATCACCTTATTTGTTATTTTATAATTTAAAAAAAATACGAATAAATCAAAATCTTCAACACCCCATACCTCATAGAAAAAGCCTTCCCATACTCATATTTATATGAACTTATTTCTTTAATTTGTGACATAAAAGGTTTAGAAAGTTTGGCCAAGTATTTTATTTACATCCTGTACTAGCTAGAATTTATATTAACATAAAAAATTCAATATTGCTACAAAATTATTTGTTCTTATACCATCTGTACAATTCTAATGTATTTTTAGCAAGTGGCATTACATTCCTAACAAATTACACAAAAGGTTGAGTACAGAACGAAAAAAAAAAAAGAGCAAAGGTCTATTATACTTTGAAAGTAGTAGCCAGACGAAAAGCCAGACTACAAGCTATATAGAAATTAATTTATATTTTAACTGAAGAAAAGAAATATAATCAGTAACGTCTATTTTTGCACTTATTATTACTTTCTTATAATACTGACAGAGCGTCTAGGAAATGGTGGGCAAGTTCTTAGATTTGGGTAGGAGTTGCACAAATACAGTATAGACTTTAATTTGAACTAATTAAGTCACGGACTTAAAGAGATAAGTTTGAATTACCGATATTTTCGAACTACTGAATAGTAAATAGCATAACATAACAAAACATAACATAACATAACATAATATGCATAACAATAGCATAGCAATAACAATAAAAGAGTTTTTCTTCTGCCGCGTCCAGAAGTAGAAGCGACAAAGCAAAATTAAAAATTTTCTCCTTATTTTTCTTAATGTCTGCAATAGTAGATTTTCCGACATTATACATTTTAGATAACTTAGTTGCCGGTTCACCTTCGTTTAATTTATTTAGAATATCAACTTTTTGCAAAAGGGTTAACGTATGATGCTTTCTTTTCTGCAACATGTTTGCATGGCAATAATATTTCAACTAAAATTCAAATATTTCAAAGATCTAATCGAGGAAGTTTCCGACTCGCATAAAAGGGTTTCCCCGAGACTGCCGGGGAATTACATCTTTAGAGGTTGCTTTTTGTTATGTAGTTCCACTCTATAATCTGAACTATATGCGTTAAATCGAATTTAGTTTGGACCATTGAAACGGGCATTCGTCAGGCCGGATTAGTAGATATTCGGATTAAGATGAGTTCGGATTAAAGAGTCTATACTGTAATATAATAAAGTTTATATAAGTATATTTTTTTATTTGAGCTCATTCTGTAGAGTTATTAGCTCTTGATGATGAGAGTTGAAATTCGATTATTCATTTAACTTATTTATTTTTCACGAAATGCCAATTGACATATATTTGATAAATAAAAAACCATTTGTTGTTTTTAGATATTTATTATTATCAAAACATATCAGAAATAATATAGGATCTTTATTGTTAAACTCATTTATCTTGAAAACAGTTTGCTGTCTCGATAGCAAATCCTCTTCAGTTAAAAAAGCACAAAAGTGTTGAAAATGGCAAAAAATTAAAACATTAGGACTATAAATTTTGGACACCGTAAGTAGCTATTGGTAAATTAAATACATTAGTTCAAATAGCTTCAAATAACAGCTTTTACCCAAGAATTATCCAAATTTGAAAATCGAAAAATTGATTTCCAACAGCTTCAACAACTAATAATTCTACAGGGTGAACCCGAATAAAAATTTTTTATATAACCTTGCGACGTTATTTTTGCAAGGTCTACCCAAATTTGAGAGATTACCCATCATTTTCTGGACACCCTGTATAATGCCTATTTTTTATAATGTTGAGCAAATATAACGGATAATATCAATGCTGTATAGTACATAACATACAAAATGTATAAGTTCCCAACACTGATTGTAACAACTAGAGAAAGAGGGAGAGAGACTGTTCTGAACATAATGAGTATTACACATATTTCGACGTTTTAGTACGAAAACATGCTAGCTCAGATTTCAGTTGGAAAACATACTATCTCAAATTTCGGATGGAAAACATGCTATCTCATATTAAGCTTGGAAAACATGCTAGCTCAGATCTTTAAGTAAAAACATGCTATGTCAGTTAGACTAGAATTTTAAGCTGGCACATTGAATGACTGAAACCGTGCACTTATAATAAACTTATATATTTTTCAAAAAGTAAGGAATATTTATGTTCAGGTACACTGTTTATTTTATTTTTTTATTCAACATTTTTCGATTAATTTTATAAGTTACTGTTATAAACGACAAAATTGTTATGCTACTCTTGATACATTTATTTTTCTTTTTCACAAAATCTGGGATGCACAATTTATTCTGAAAATAATTTTGTATGCCTAATGCAGACTAAGGAGACTGCAATAAAAAGAATTGTATAGTGGACCAGCCTAGGCCCCAAACTCCGGGTCTGAATCGTCTTCCTACATCTCAATAAAAACACGGGAGCCGCGTCCTTGCATAGACTTTGGAAATGAAATGCAGGTATGCGACACTTTTATTACCGGTACTTTATGATCTGCTGATAATAAGCATTGCGTGCATGGGGAAACGCGGAAATGTGCACGTGCATATCATATGCGCCCGTCGCATCGATATATACATATCATTCAATTTTATACATTATATTTATATTCTGGTTATTATGTTAACTCTATTAATAAAAGTAAGAGTAGTGACTATAAATCAGGTAAGATTGCGCTATTAATTTTTACATCAAAGCAAACTTTTATGAAAAAAATCGAATAATTTTTAGTAATAATTTTTATATATTAAGGTATACACTATTTTTTATAATTCGTTATTTCAAAAACCGTTGAGTAATGTACGTGTTGCAGCATACTGCATATTATTCTATTTTTTTAATTAACAATTTTGTCGTTTATAACAGTAACTTAACAAAATTAATTGAAAAATGTTGAATAAAAATAAATAAAATAAACAGTGTACTTGAATTCCTAACTTTTTGAAAAATATATTATATAAGTTTATTATAAATGAACGGTTTCAATCATTCAATGTGCCAACTTAAATTTCAAATCAATCTGAGATAGCATGTTTTTACTTAAAGATCTGAGCTAGCATGTTTCCAAGCTTAATTTGAGATAGCATGTTTTCCAACCGAAATTTGAGATAGCATGTTTTCCAACCGAAATCTGAGATAGCATGTTTTCATACTAAAGCGTTGCTTTGTATAATTTGGAAGATAGATAGCAATTAGCAATACAGTGGAGTTGGGACCTAATATATGTATTTTAGTGGCTCTGATACAAGTCTGGTAAGTTTCTCAGATGTTCATATTCTGGAAATATTTTTGATTTTTCTCTTAACAGACAATTGTGTGTATACTACGACTAATATGATAAATTTGTTTATACTGATGCACAGGTTAACTTAGGTAAGCGGATATAATAAAATATATTTTTTTTATATACAAAATGTTTTTCCTATTTATTTTGCAGGCGTCAAAAACATTAAATATATATGGGGCATTCTTTGTCAAAACGGCCATCCTATCTGTTCAAAAATTCTTTTCAGGCTCATTTGATTGAGCCCTGCCCTTTTAAAAAAAAAATTAAGATGGTGGACCTGTAGGTCCAAAAAACTTCGAGAAAGTCACCATGATGAATGAAGTTATCCTGGTTGTCACAAATTAAAAAAAAATTGTGAACAGAGCTTATTCCATTGTGGTCGGATTTAGTCATATTGAGCTAAAATTTTGAGGATCACATTTTTTCCTACCCACTTTCGAGAAAAAAATCGACAGCCAAATCCCAACGCACACACGACTCTATCGAAAAAGAATGGAAGTTTTTTTTGAGGTTAGGCACTTGTAATATGTGTAAAAAATGTTAGATTCGTATTTAGTGCGTCAAAATACATACGAATTATCTCTGTTCGTAATTTTTTTACCACCTCTGTGACTTTTAACCACGATAACTTCATATTCATAGTGACTTTCTCGAAGTGTTGCGGCCCATAAGGGTTCGCCATCTCGATTTTTTTTAAAAGGCCGCAACTTAATAAAAACTAGACACGTATAGCTACCAAATGAGGCGAAGAGAATTTTTAGGTTACTTCAATTTTTACAGATGGAGTGGCCGTTTTGACAAAGAATGCCCCATATAGGTATTTAAAGGTTTTTATATTTTTTGTCTTATTTTTGCTGAAAAATTCACCACGTTAAACGGTTAAAATGTAGCTCATGAAATATGTTATCAGGGAATTTATATATTTTGATTTTAAACCTTATAAATTGAAATTATTTATTTACAAATGCATCTTAGAAAATTTTCTTGAAAAAAAAATAATTAAAGGCAACAGTAGAAGGAGTAACAGTTAACTGTTGACAAAGTGTTAAACAATGACAGAAAGTATATTCAAAGACAAATTAATTAATTAATTCTAGGATAAATGAACAATGGCTATAATTAAATTATTTAAGTCGTATTGGCTTAGTAAAAAATTATTTAATTTAAATGCATCATTTTATATTATATAACTAGGGGCAGTTATGAAATGCAAAGAATTTGAAATTTGGCTACTCAAAGTCATTGAAAATCCTAACGAGTTGGCATCTTTCTGAATGCCCCCAAACATAATTAATTCGGATTTACCTTCTACTAAAGTATAAAGTATTGTTTCTTCAGGTCCATTTTTTATATTTTTCGGAGGTAACCAAATTGCTACAGGATTTTCGTTCAAAACTTGAGAAATATCTAAAACATATACACCTAAGTAATGAGTCTTCTTCTCTCTTTTATAAGCTCCTTTTGTTAAATTTTCTTCTACTTTTAAGAGATTAGCCAATCTCTTTTCTCTCATAGTTTCAGCAACTTGAACTTTCCGATTATCTGGACCATTGAAAGCTGCCATATTTAGTCCAGAAGAGCTTGGCATTCCATGAATCTAAAATTCAATACAAATCATAAATTACTCCATTTTCTTGTGTTAAAATTTATAATACATTTAAAGCAGGTCACTTTCACTCTCTCTTCCACTAATTTGATAACCGAGTGTGAAATAGCTTTCACTAAATATGGTGTTTTAACACAGTTTACCTCTATAATAAGTTGCATTATTAAGTTCAGTGAGAAGCATATAGTTACCTTAACATTTTCTCTAGTGGCAAAATTATTACTGTTGGAGCTAGAGTTTCCAGGTAGCAATATATCGTCTTCATCATCTGCTTCTCGTTTATGATTCCGTAAGGTGCCCCTTTTACCATTTACATTATCATCCTTATCTGGTTGTCTAGCAGCTAAATCAATTCTTGCTAACCGTCCATCATCTGGTAAATTTCTATTATTTACACACCACGTAGTTTTTGGATAATACGCTATGGAATTATTCTCTGGCTGCCGTATTCTGTTAAGTACTACAATTTTATCACCTATCTGAAAAATATTTAAAATAGTTATGAGACGAAAACTTATTAATGTTGATTCACCTTGCAACCTGGATTACTCCATATATTGGTAGGTTCATTTGATTTCCCGGTAATTTCAATTTTCTTCCATTTCCACAAATCCCCTGACATATTTAATATCCATGCATCACAGTAATGAAAGATTGGGCCGCCAGACCCACCCAGAATTAATAAATTTTCTTTATCTAAAACTACTTGCGTTTGACCAAATCTTCCATTTGGTTTTGGTCCACCTAAAATGAAGAATATAAAAAATTAATGTAGTCTTATCTTTCATCATTCCTCCAATTTTTTATGTTGTATCATCCTTCATTTCAACAATACAAAGAATTTTATTTATGAAATTTTAGTTTTGATGGTTTGAATTTGTACTAAGAGATGTAAATATTTTGTAGCTAACTAAGCAATGTCCTTTTTTTTCGTTATTTTTGGGGTATCTTGCCACCTGTGAAAAAATTTAAAAATTTGTGCCAAATGACAAGGGTTTATTTCACTAATTTTTAAATTTTTTCACAGGTGGCAAAATACCCAAAAAAAATAAAGAAAAAAAAAAACAAAAACTATACCACAAATAAATATCTTAAGGTAGTTATCGCCTAAATGGACACTATTCAAGATAATTACGAAACTTTCCGTATAATTAATTATGCACCCGACAGATAGGTAGGTACTTTTGCAAAATTTCAGCACACTTTACCACACAGTTTCTGAATTATGCTTAATCAAGGTTGATTATGTTTAGCATAAGCATAATAAATATTGTCGTTACGATGAAAACGTTGCTGTTGTAAAATAACCCCAATCGAAAAACTGCTCAAATTTAAAGCAAGACTAATTTGTGTAGAAATACGTTATATATAACAATCTGGAAAGAATTGATCAGCTAAGATTGAAAATATTACTTAATACTCAAATATTGAAGTTTTTCATATGATTATTCATATAAATAAATGAAACGCGGCAACGTCGCACATTGAAGAAATGTTAGCTTACTCATGTGTTGACATTCTACAACATTTTGAACTAAAACCTTTTCATTTCAGTGTGCGTTTTTCGTTTAAAGGAACTAATTAAATAAATCAAACAATAAGGTCGATTCCTGCTAAATTTTTTAAAAACTTACCAAACGATTGTAATGCATTCACTATATTTGACACTAACCTGACCTTGTGCTCTGTAAATATAAGTTTCCATCAATCTCTCTCTCACACACAGCTGCGATCTGTATGACGTTGCCAGTTGTCGAAACTACGCGACTCAAATATGAAACTTGCTGGAAAATTTTCTACTTGAACTCGGTATTTGGGATATAACTACCTTAAGCAATGTTTAAAGAAACATTGGAAAGAAGTAATGTTTTTTTTAGTTTTAGTTTTATCAGTATTAAATGTACATATTTAAACAACAAGCACTAATAATATGACATGTGTAACATGACTTGTGCTAAACTTGTCAGAAGTGATAAAATTATAGTAATCTGCAAAATATTCAAGTTGTTCATCGAAAAAAATGTTGTAGGTCACTACAATCGTTTGAGCGGCTTCTCCCCTTTCTAGTAAATAGTTTATAAATAGTTTTCATGTGTATGCATGAGACATAACTAAACTCAATTACTAATTAAAGTTCAAGAAAAATAATAAGATATCATTTTTCTAGAATCACTACATAATTATCGCTTTTTGACATTTTATTTAATATCTAAATAAGTGACTTGTTTGCACTAGTGTGGAGTCACTTTTTAGGCTTTGTGCTAAAAAAAATAACTGTATATTATATGCATAGCTACCTTGGCAGGCAAGTAAGTGTACCTAAATATTATAAATATTTATCTACTCCTATTAATTTATATATTAATTATTCAACTGCTTTTGAGCAATTAATAGTGTCAATAAACAAGTAGCGTGAGTTTTTATAATAAGTAATTATAACTCACACTGGGCTTCTACAATGATAATTCGGTATGTAAATAGTGTACGCAGTAAATTCTTGGAAATTTTTAAGCCGATAAATACGTTCCATTGGTGTAAAATGGAAAGAATTTTTAACAAGTGGAAAGGAATGAATAATTAAAAGATTTTAAAATTATTAAATTGCCAACGCCTCTCAGTAGGCGGAACTGTCAATTATTATCATTGAGGGGACTAATGTCATTTGATATTTTAACAAAATAATTTTGACGTTTTCAAATCAATTTCTAATAATAGTCCTAAAAAAGATGAATTTAGATAGCGAAGATGAGTTATTATGTACACCTCCAGAAATAAGAGAAGTAGCTAATAATGCAATACAGAATTTATTACCAGAAAAATCAAAAAACAAGTATAAAGGTGTATATAAAAATTTTCAAGATTGGTGTAGCAATAAAAACGTTAACTCGTTTACAGAAAATGTAGTCGTAGATAAAGTATAGTATTCAACTTGCGGTAATGGTCATAACTCACTTGATGAATTACAGCACTCGCCTGTGGCTCGTGCTGCAAACTTCATCTGCGTGAGTTATGACCTGCATTACCGCTCGTTAAATAATATACTATTACCTACATATTATTTTGCCAAGTTACAATGATAGCTAGATAATAGTTATTTGAATTTGTGACCTAGGGTAAAAAATTTGCCTTTTGTTTTGTTGGATGCCATAAAAATTTTCTGTCTCACTTCATTATTCAATATTTTTGGTTCAATGTTACTTTCTAGACGTCATATTATTTTATCCGCAAATATGTATTTAAAACCAATTACTATACATAATGGCAAATGAAGTCAATGAAAAATTTATTTATTTCTTTAGACAACTATTAAAAGATAATTGCAGAAAAAATTACATGCAAAACATTAAATTGACATTTTCTATTTTTTTAAACTTCATAATGCTGCCATATTATGAAAAATAAAATTTTTAAGAAAAATAAAAAATCAGTTTGTATCCATGAACTGATTATGAAGAAAAAATATTTTGCAAATAAGTGCAACCCTTTCCAGGATCCTAGGGTCGGCAACTGTTAATAACATTTTTTATAGTGCAAATTTCTTTTGAAATTTTTTCATCACGAAAATTCAAAGTGCAACCCTTTCCAGGATCCTAGGGTCGGCAACTGTTAATAACATTTTTTATAGTGCAAATTTCTTTTGAAATTTTTTCATCACGAAAATTCAAAGTGCAACCCTTTCCAGGATCCTAGGGTCGGCAACCATTAATAACATTTTTTATAGTGCAAATTTCTTTTGAAATTTTTTCATCACGAAAATTCACTTTGTAGGCCTAGAAATCTTCCCGTTAGAAAATGGTATGGGTCCCACACTTTATCAAAATATGGCCACTAAATTTTCAACAGCCGTCACTGTTGCAATGTTAAAATTTAAAAAATTGTCCACAATTTTCTTTTAATTGCAGAAGCATAGTTCGGATAAATTTTTTTTTAAAGTAGACCTTCTGTTACAATAAAGCAGTTTTTGCAAAACTATATCGATCCTTTAGTACGAAAACATGCTATCTTAGATTTCGGTTGGAAAACATGCCATCTCAAATTTCGGTTGGAAAACAAGCTATCTCAAATTAAGCTTGGAAAACATGCTACCTATTTTTTTAATTAACAATTCGTTGTTTATAACAGTAACAACAAAATAAATTGAAAAATGTCGAATAAAAAAAATTAAATAAACAGTGTACTTGAACTAAATATTCCTTACTTTTTGAAAAATATATTATATAAGTTTATTACAAAATGCACAGTTTCAATCATTCTATATGACAACTTAAATTTCTAGTCAAACTGAGATGGTATGTTTTTAATTAAAAATCTGAGTTAGCATGTTTTCCAAGCTTAATTTGAGATAGCATGTTTTCCAACCGAAATTTGAGATAGCATGTTTTCCAACCGAAATCTGAGATAGCATGTTTTTGTACTAAAGCGTCGATATGCTGTGCCAGATGTCTTAAAAAAAAAATTAAAGACAGGTAAGTATATTTGAGTGTAGGGCTTTCCTGGGTGAGAAAAAAATGTTGTTCACATTGTATTGTTCACTTGATTATCAAATGCACGAATGGGTCACCTGCATTGAATCTACAGCAACATACGATGGTACACCCCTGCCATAGACAGAGAAATAGAAATGTAATCGATTTTAAAAACAAACAGACTAATTTTCTGAGCTACAGATCTCAGCATTTAGTATCTTTGTAAATTTGGTTTCTCCGTAGTCATGAAAATGAAATAATAAAAAAATGGGAAACATTGCAGATGGTGGATGAAAATTTACGTGTTTGTTTCTTTATTTTAAAGCTTCACATAATTCTTTCTCAAAATCAATTGCAAACCTCTCACTATTATAGTTATTATCTATATTATCTATCTAGCATATATTGATAAAACAATATTATTTTATTGTTACATCAATATATATTTACAACAATATTATTTTATTGTTTCATATCTATAGTAAGAATGTATTTATTGTAACCATAGTAGTAGTATTATTTAATTATGTTGCAATTTTTATTTTGAACCGTTAAACAAATTTTCCTTGCCCAGTGTGCTGTGAGGTAAAAAAGTTTGTAACAGAATATGACAATAAAATTTAACCAAGTACTTTAGTTAAACTCTATGAAAATTTTAAACATACTTTCAACTTCCTGCTTAAACCACGTCCAGGTTTCCAAGTTTAACTTCCAAATATCATTTGATTTTTCACAGTGTACTGCAGTATTTGGTTTTTGTAAGCCTCCAAAAATAATCATCCATTCTCCTACAATAGAAACTGAATGTCCTGCAACTGGTGGAGGCGTATTTACTGTACTTATACAAGTCCATCTATTTGCAACTATATCGTAAACGTGGAGTTCATTAAATAAATGCCAACTCTGATATAAAGGATATGATGGAGGATATGCCCATCCTCCAAATAATACTAAAATAAGAAAATTCAAATATCATTATTATTATTATTATTATTATTATTATTATTATTATTATTATTTTACAATTTACAATTTTGACAATTTATTTGTAATATCAAATTATACAAGTTATACAAATATATAATTTTAAATGAATAAATTGTCAAAATTTAAACAAAGAATGTGAGTATCTAGTAACTATTAATGCATAAACTTTACATTTTTTATGTATTTATATATTATTAATTAGTTGAAGACATAAAAGAAGTAAAAAATTATATATTTTTACAGTTCAAACCAATAAACTTTTATAACATTTATATGAATGAATGCAGTTGGTTGGTTTTTCAAACAGTACTTAAGTAATTTGGAAATTGAGTTTCTTTGATTTATAATTATAAAGTGTTTATTGTGTTCAAAATAGCAGTGCAAAATATTAAGTAGGTACTTGGAATTTGCTGTGTCATACCTAATGAGTCTTTGTGTCTAATTAAAGAACTGCATGCTTTAGGAGATGGATATGTTCCCATTGCCAAAGGTCGAATCCACTGTCGTTTTGATAAATCTAATCTCCATAAATCATTAAATGTAGTCATGGCACAAGTACATCCTCCAAACACAAACATTGAATTTTCATGTACTACGGCTGTGTGTGAGTAACGCTTTGTTATTGTAGGAGCCATATCGGCTGGAGTAATTCTTTCCCATCTTACATCAAAGTCATTTATTGCTCTGTATAAGTTTCTTTGTCTTGTTCGTACAACATCTAAAAAATCACAGAATTAACCTATAAATATTAAAGACGGGTGTTTACTCATCATAACATTTAAACAAAGATATGTTAAAATTAGTAACTAAGACAAAGACATTTCACTTACTCAAGACACATCTTCTCCACCTCTTTGATACCTGCATACAATCATGTAAATCTTTGTAAGGTGGAATAAGAGATAAAATAAATTCCAGTACTTCATCTGGAAGGGAATCTACTAAAGAATTGTCCATATTCACTGGAGTTCCGTTCTAACCTACAGAACAACTACTTTTAAAATTTTCTTTTAAAGATCTCATTGGAAACTGTCTGGCTAATGTTTTACTGGGATTTGTTATTTTTGTGAAATGTCAAAAGTCTCTCATCATTCTTGGAAAGAACCTTGTGGTGTTGCCAAATTTGAGGCCAATTTTAACGATTATCTTTGTTATATACAGAGATGAAAATATCTGACTGGCCAGTTTAAAGACTCTACCAGTTGACGTCATATTGCTACTATACAAGTAAAAATGCAACCACAAAATAATGTTTCAATGAATGAATTTTTATCCACTTCAAGGAGGACGTCGTACTCACATAGGTATTTACTTAGTAGTAATAACTAAGGTACTGTGCAGTACAGTATTTATGTAGTCATGCTGCTGGGCTAATATTTTGTGGATTGGTTAATTTTTAACCAATAATATGAGTACCTATACTTATTTTATCGAAAGGAATTTTAAAACAAGTTTATTAGTCGTTGCAAATTGAAAAAATACAAAATCGGCGTTAATATAAAACCTCTAAAAACAAGTTTCAAGATAGGTATATTATTAGATAGTTACTCTTATGTGTATATTACACAAGAAGTTTGGTTTTCTAAATATTTTAATTTTTTTTCCTTGCTCATAATATAAAGTAAGTGCGCGTACCTAGGTCTGCGCAATACAGCGGTGTAACTGGAAGTGGGGCGGGAGATCCCGCTTGCGTTGTCTAGTCCTGTGGAGTGGGATGGAAACAGCTTGAATTCAAACTAAACATTGGGACCGGTATGTAGATATTATGTAGATGATATGTTCATTGTTCATTAGGTATTTGGCCACATGGTAAGGACAGCCTTGACAATTTCCAAAACTATTTAAATGGTCGTCATCCTAACCATGATCCAAAACATTCGATTCACCATGGAAAAAGAAAAGAGGACACGACCGACTTTCTTGGATGTCTTGGTAACTAGAAAATAGGAGCAGCTGGCACATACTGTTTATAAAAAACCTATCCATACCGATAGATACATACAACCGAATTCGAACCATCATCCGACACCAAAAAGGATTATAATCAAAACATTAGTTAACAGGGCTTGAGCCATATCGCATGGGAAGCATTTAAACTCTGAACTGAAGCATCTCACTGGAATTTTACGGGCAAATAGTAAATAGTTATAAAAAACAGGATGTAAAATGAGTCATATTAATCCTATAGGCGTACCTACACAAAAAAGAGTGGGAAAAACTGGATGCAGATCAACAAATAGCATGCCTGCTTCCTGCCTTACATTTATAATGTAGGTACCTTATCGCCAAGATATTACAAAGGAAGGGATCAGGTATGTACAAGGTTCCTCCCTACACTAAATGTCCAACAGGAGTTAAGGTCAATAAAATACCGGCTTGACCCTCTGTTTACCCTTGAGGTATACCGCATACCATGTGAATTTGGAAAGGATTATAAGAGATCGGTTATCGGTTATTACCAGAAGGAAGGAAATTGCTTCTGCTTTTACATCGGTGTATGCTGTATGTATGCTACTTTTCTATTATGACGGCTTCCTATGCAAATAACACACATCCTATGGACATCCTAGGTTGCTCTGGATACGCTGAACATCCACAATTTATCCGTTTGCATTCTAGATGAACTTGAATGAATTTCTTCAAAATTATGTTTAATTCGAAAATGGTCTACTATTTTGGCTTCAAAAAAGTATACACTTTTTGCGTGAAATTGAATGCCAGTTCTTTATTTTTGTTCAAGAATGTACATATAGGGTGAACAAAAACGTTATGACGATGTTAATCAACTAATGTTGCTGTAGGGGGCGTTATCTAGCGGCAATGGTGAAATTAATACCATTTTCGTATTACGCATGCTGAGCACGATACCAAATTTAATCGAAAGCTGTTGAACAGCTTTCAAGATGTTTTAAAAAATAATTTGAAAAAAGTTAATAAAACCCTGTAGAACGAAAACGAGTAAGATTTTGCTAAGGCATGTTTGGCCCAAATGCTTTATTTTTATGCCAGCTATCATTTTTTTATAGCTAATGTCCAATTAATTACGGGACACTCTGTATATAATATAGTTAAGACAATTCGTCACTTAGGAAGGAAATACTAGATAATTTTCATAAAATCCTTGTTACCGTAGTCTGGTAGTAAAAATATATATGACAGGGATTTTATGTCGCAATCTAGCATTTTAAATATAAAGTTTAACTGGTTGTCTAACTATATCATATATAGCACCGCGTGTTAAACAGTGCAGACGCTGTAGAGAGAAAAGGCGATAGTTTGGGTACTCGATCTCTCTTTCTAATCATTGAGGAAGGAGTAGTGTTAGTTAATCAATCACTTAGAAGAAAATGCGCGAGAGAGAAAGATAATAACCAATTTTCTCTTTCTCTGACGTTCGTCTACACTATCACCATAAGCGTGCTTCCTCCGTGTAGTATTTTCTCTAAGTAAACAGGGTGTTTCAATTAAAACTTCCCACCTGGGCAATATCGGAATTAAAAAAAAAACAAAAATGCCAAAGACACGTCAATTTTCTTTACATGATAGCGTAAGTTTTGGTGTCTTGGAAGCTACCTCTTCGGTAAGGGCGTAAAATACCCTTAAACTTTAAATGGCACCCTATGATGAGTGACACCTCAATTTAAAGCTTTTTCAATTTTGCACACGACGACATACGACTTTTTAAGTTATGGTTTTGATATGACAATAAAATCATCACTTACAGAATAAGACAAAATATCAATGAATGAAAGATTGTTATTTTATTAGGTGTCAAATAATTGGTTTCCCTCCGCTTCCATACATAAAAAAATCATTGCTTCATTTCAGAACGAACATTTCGACGCATTTCAAGCGTTATTTGACGACATTCTTCAACAATTTCGTTTTGATTTTTCGTTTACCTGTCAATACAAAAACTTCCTACTCCATTAGTTCAACTTTTTTACCTGTTTTACTTTAAACGAGACAATATTGTCTCGTCTTGTCTTGTCGAGACAATATCACGTAAAATCATTTCAAAGTCGATAGAATGAAAATGATTTATACAATTGCTGAAAAAGTGGAAATAATTAGTTTGTTCTACAAAAATAATGACTGTGCACGGTAGGGAGCATAGATTTTCAATGATCGTCATCCTGATCTGACAAAAACACTTCGCGTCGGTACGTTCTGGATTTAGTGCAAACATTTTCGAAAACTCGATCGGTTGCGAACAGAGCATCAACGTGAACAGGTCGTACGTAATGAGGGTAATCAGGTAGTTGTCCTGATAGACCAGGCGGTATCTGTTTTGATTTGGGTGAATCGTATATCCACGGAAATTTTTGGCTTTTTGGCTTTCAAATATCACTAGAAATGAAAATTTTTCTATGCGCATAAAAAAACCGTAGGCTTAACTTTTGACGGCACAATATGTTAAAAAAAATTCAAAATATGTCATATTTTCCCTCCTATTTAATTATGTATCTTTTCAAGAGTTGATTTTAGACGAAAATGGAAAAGGAAAAAATGTTTGTAATTAAATTTTTTACAAAACATGTCTAGTTACAAATCGAGTGAATCGTGATTATTATGGTAAAAATCGAAAAAATCGCAAAAATGGGGTTAAAAAACAATACTTTTTAGGGAATTTTTTTGGGGTATTTAAATTGGGCATAGGACCTTTATACTTGGCTCAAAAAAAACTTCATGTTATGTAGAATTATCACACCAAATTTCATCAAAATCCGTTCGATAGATTTTGCATAATAATTTTGCAATACAGATTTTGAAAAAAAAATTGCAAATTTTCAAAATTTTGCACAGCAAAAACCAAGGCCCTTAGATACTTGAAAATTTAATCACATATAGAAGGGCTCTCAAGCTTTCAAACTTTTTTTGAAAAATCCGAATCCGTCAATTAGGAGAGCTCTGGCGCTCGTTTAAACATTGGTCGAATTTTTGTACTTATAAACAATTAGAACTTTGTGAATATTCAATCAAATCAAATTTTTTAAAGCAGGTTTTAAAAGTTCTTGGAAAGACGCTTCATTAAAAAAAACAGGACGATTGATCAATTAGTTACGTAGTTATAGCCGTCATTTACACTAAATGTACTGGGACATCCGGGCTAATTTTTCAAAAAATACCTTTGATATTCCGAGTACTTACCAGGTCTAAGATTACAATACTGTTCTTCATTGGCAACCTACTTTAAAAAGTTATTTATGCAAGCGAGAAATTCAATAAAATCGTTTTTACTTTTGGTGGTGGTGAGGGAAGCAGAGAGTGCGGCCGCTTCGGCCTGCTCGAAATTGAATCGGCTATAACTACGTAACTAATTGATCAATCGTTCTGTTTTTTTTTTTAAAGAAGCGTCTTTCCAAGAACTTTTAAAAGCTGCTTTAAAAAATTCGATTTGATTGAATATTCATAAAGTTCTAATTGTTTATAAGTACAAAAATTCGACCAATGTTTAAACAAGCGCCAGAGCTCTCCCAATTGACGGATTCGAATTTTTCAAAAAAAGTTTGAAAGCTTGAGAGCCCTTCTATATGTGATTAAATTTTCAAGTATCTAAGGGCCTTGGTTTTTGCTGTGCAAAAATTTGAAAATTTGCAATTTTTTTTTCAAAATCTGGATTGCAAAATTATTATGCAAAATCTATCGAACCGATTTTGATGAAATTTGGTGTGATAATTCTACATAACATGAAGTTTTTTTGAGCCAAGTATAAAGGTCCTATACCCAATTTAAATACCCCAAAAAAATTCCCTAAAAAGTATTGTTTTTTAACCCCATTTTTGCGATTTTTTCGATTTTTACCATAATAAACATGATTCATTCGATTTGTATCTAGACATGTTTTGTAAAAAATTTAATTGCAAACATTTTTTTCCTCTTCCATTTTCGCCTAAAATCAACTCTTGAAAAGATACATAACTAAATAGGAAGAAAAATATGACATTTTTCGAATTTTTTTTAACATATTGTGCCGCCAAAAGTTAAGCCCACATTTTTTTTATGCGCATAGAAAAACATTCATTTCTAGTGATATTTGAAAGCCAATAAGCCAAAAATCTCCGTGGATATACGATTCACCCAAATATGGCTTTTTGAAACAGATACCGTCTGGACTATGAGTCATATAGCAATGGAACCTTTGACTTTCAGGAAACTTGCGAGTACTTCGGAAGTTTCTGTACCTAGTTGCCGCCGAATGTTAAAAATTAATTTGCTACAAGAAATTAATAAAGACGATCTTGATTGACTTGCAGTTCTGTGAAGACATAAGTGATCGTGCTCGAATGATTCCAAGTTTTTTGTACTCAATGTGTTTCTCCGATGAATGTACGTTTCAACTGGATGGTCGAGTCAACCGCCATAATTGCCGCTACTGGAGTGATGAAAATCCATGCATTTTTCATGAAACTTGTATAATCATATGCAGCATCCAAGAATATTAAATGTTTGGGCAAGCATACCTCATAGGGCCTTTCTTCCTACTGGGAAAACTTAATGGAAACATGTATCTGAATCTACTGGAAACGCATATCTACCCGATGATTGTGTAGTGTTGGAAAATGACAACGCTTGGCCAAAAGAGGATGTGTGGCTTCAGTAGGATGGTGCTCCACCACATTATGCCGTAGCTGTGAGTGATTTCTTAATCAGAACTTTCCAAATTACTGGATAGAATGCAGAGGTTCAATTGAGTGGCCTTCCAGATCACCAGATCTAACGCCCTTAAACTTTTTTCTATGAGGACATTTAAAGTCGAAAACGATCGAACTCACTTGAGGAGCTTCGTCGGCGATTTGTTGAAGAATGTCGTCAGATAACGCCCGAAATGTTTCGAAATGTTCGTTCGGAAGTGGAGCAAAGATTCTATTATTATACGGAAGCGGAGGGAAACCAATTTGAACATTTAATAAAATAACATTCTTTCATTCATGTATATTTTGTTTTATTCTTTAAGTGAAGATTTTATTATCATATCCAAACCAAAATTTAAAAAGTCGTATGTCATCGTGAGTAATATTGAAAAAGCTTTAAAATGAGGTGTCACTCAACACAGGGTGCCATTTAAAATTTAAGGGTATTTTACGCCCCTGCATAAGGGATAGTGTCCAAGACACCAAAACTTATGCCATCACGTGTCCCCCTTTAAACGAAAATTAACATGTCTCAGGTACTCAGGTTTCTTTTTTTTCGATATTTTCCAGGTAGGAAGTTTTATTTGGAACACCCTGTATATAGAAGAGTAGCGAGTATAAAATAACGATTAATAATAATAAGCGATAACAAGAGTAATAAGTATATCTTTATGTGAATAATTATATTTGAATGCATTTTTCAGGTAGCAGATATGCGGGGTGTTTGGAAAAGTTGGGACAAAATTTAAGGGGGTGAAAGTAGAGCCAAAAATAGTAAAAAAAAGTTCCTATAAATATTGGTCCTCCGCAGTACCGTTACTGAGATATTGCCCTCCAAAGGAGTCTTATCATTTAGATATTTTTTAAAATAACTTTCTTTCTGATTAAGATAATGGAATGAAAATTGTAGGTAATAATCATACCAAAAGGGTCTTTAACTACTGGACGGAGCACGCTCCTTAGTTTCCCTAGCTTAAGTTTAGTTGTTTGTAATAACGTAGAAAAAAGTAGGCTAGACATGTCATGTTGTAACGTTTGTCAACAAATATACAGTCCACTTTAAGGTCAATTTATTTACCACAAAACCAAACATTGGTCCTTCGAGCCGGATTCACTAGTAAAAGTGTTTCGTGGTATTTCTCATTAGGGGAGAAAAGCAAATCCAGTTAGTGGAGGAAAAGTAAAAGGCAGCAACATCGACAGGAATTTCCAGGGTCTTCGTGCAGCACAGATCACCAAGTAACAAGTCAAGGGAGTACCAACAAGACAAGGGAGTACCTGGACATCTCTTGGCGAAAAGAAAGCAGCGGGGAACGGCAGCGAGTCAGAGAATCAAAGCAGTCGAAAGAAGAGTTAGAGCAGCGTGTTGAATAGCACTCGGGCTTAGAGCACGACACACGATTTGGTAAAGGCACAAGGCATACCGGCAAGTAAATAAAATAACTCTTTCGGGCGTTAAAATGGCGGATTTAAAATCATTAAAAATAAAACGCGGTAACATCAAAGGGCAGTTAACCCGATTTGAAAGGTTTTTAAGCGAGGTCAGGGAAGAAACTCTTTCTCAGCTTTCAGAGAGAATAAAGAGGTGCGAGGAAATGTATGATCAATTTAATAAAATTCAGGAACAAATAGAGGAAATCGACGAAACAGAATTACAAAAAAATGAAAGGGATATTTTTGAGGAAAATTATTACAAATTAATCGGGGATGCAAAAAGATTATTGGTTAATCAAAATGCAGGAGAGATAGCAGCGCAACAAAGTTTAGGTCCGGTTCATAAAAAAGCGAAAAATGTAAAGTTACCTACTATTGAAATAACACCATTTTATGGTTCCTACAAATCGTGGTTGGAGTTTCGCGACGTGTTTACATCCATGATTGATAACGACGAAGAGTTAACGCCGGTTGAGAAATTCTTTTATTTAAAAAGTTTAGTAAAAGGGGCAGCCGCAGAAGTAATACAATCTTTAGAAGTATGCGATGAAAATTACATTGAGGCGTGGCATTTATTACGAGATAGTTTTGAAAATAATAAGCTTATTGCGTTAAGTCACATTCATTCAATATGCGAATTTCCGCCAATGCAAAAAGAATCATATACAGGTTTAAAAAGATTTTTGGACGAAATAAGAAAAACTGTTAGGGTTTTAAAAAGTTTAAAGTTACCGGTTGACACATGGGATGTCTTACTAATCTATTTATTAGAAAAGAAATTAGACTCAATAACAAAAAATGAGTGGAAAAAAAAGTGNCTGTTAGGGTTTTAAAAAGTTTAAAGTTACCGGTTGACACATGGGATGTCTTACTAATCTATTTATTAGAAAAGAAATTAGACTCAATAACAAAAAATGAGTGGAAAAAAAAGTGCTCAATCAAATCGTTTCAAACAATGTTTGAATTTATAGATTTTTTAGCATACAGATGTCAGTATTTATATTCAAACAATCCAAGGGAAGGAAAATTTGGGGAAAAGGGAAATTTTCATAGAAATCAAGTAACTGACCATTCCAAGGGTTCTAAAAGTTTTGTAACATCACACGAAACTTGTTTTCTGTGTAAACAACCTCACCAAATATTTCATTGCAAAACGTTTATTGAATTACCAGTTCAGTCTAAACGTGATGAAATAAAAAAGGCCAACTTATGTTGGAATTGTTTAAGGCATATATTTTCCGTGGTTCGCGAAATATGATCGTTAATAGTAGGTTTTGGCATAAAATATAATTTTGGTGACATTTTGTTGACACTTCACTAGTGAAAAAACCAGAGGATAGCAAGAAGAGTGAAAGGAGTTATATGGTGACGGGAAGTCAGGAACTGGATGGAAAGTCCGTATTAGGCGAGCGGTTACGCGAGAGAACTGGTGATAGCGCGGGAGACGCGAAGTAAGTGTAGTTGCCAAAGTATGAAACCAGAATAATTCGTTAGACATTAGTATAAGGCACTAAAACGGCGAGAACCGCTACGAAAGTGGGGAATAGTAGTCGTGAAAGTGGCAAATCCGTTGCCACGAGTCTCGTAAACGAGTTAATAGACAGAAGTGGTAATAACCTGAAAGTTAGACAATATATGTGTGAAATTAAACTTACCCAGTGTGTCATTTTTCTTAGATTAATAACTCGTCACCTTTTGGTGGTAAAAGAAACTTACCTGATTGTACCTACCAATTTTGTCACCAATTTACCTGTTTATACAGACCGATTTTGTCACCTGGGTATCTGAGTCTCCCAACGAAGAATGACATCAAGATTCCGCGAAGAGGCTTGCGTCCCCTTACCAGTAGACCAAATGAACTCTGAACGGCTACGTGAGTCCTTAACCTCGACAGAGTCTCTCGAGGGTGCCTTTGCTGAACCAAGTGCACGAGGGGTCTCAGAGGATACCTTAAGCGTAATCGCAGATGTCTCATTGATAAATCGGGATTTGGGAGAGACAGTAAGAGTGGAGGAATTAATAAATTACCCGGTTCAAGACGCCGGAGGGTCCCCTGGCGCCGCGCAGGAGCGCAGGCGGTCACAGGTCATATCGTACAGAATTGCACATCTAAGGGTTGCAAGCATTGCGAAAAGAAACACAATTCGTTATTGCATGTAGACAAGCCGGAGCAAGTACCAAAGGGCACATTAAATGCGGGCAGCAGTCAATCAGGGGTAGAGTTGGCTGATACAAACTGCAAAACACAAGGGATTAACAGTGATACCACTTCATTAACAGCAAACGTTAAGGTACATTCAGAGATATTATTATCAACGGCTTTGGTTCTCATAAAAGACAAATTCGGGAAATCACATGAATGCAGAGCATTGTTAGACTCTGGTTCTCAGTCCAATTTCTTAACGAAAGAATTATGTGACAGGTTACAACTATCAGTTCGAAAAACAAACGTGCCGGTAGCAGGTATAAATCAAATAGCCACAAATGTTCATTACATTACAAATGCGACAATTGTTTCAAAGTTTAATGGTTATCACATCAATTCGACATTTTTATTATTAAACAAAATCACCGACAATTTACCGGTCACTACAGTAAATACAGTCGATTTTAATATTCCAGGAAACATTAATCTAGCGGACACCACTTTCAATAAATCGGGCAAGATAGACATTTTACTTGGAGCTACCATATTTTGGGATTTACTTTGTGTGGGACAAATAAGGTTAGGAAAAGGTTTGCCTATCATTCAGAAAACAAAGTTAGGTTGGATAATTTCGGGAACGGTACCCCCTACGCAATCAAGTCTGACTAAGCAAACACGAATCTGCAATCTTAGTGTAGAACAAAACGACAATCTAAACCTACAAGATCAGTTGGAAAAGTTTTGGAGAATAGAAAACGTCCAGAATCACCATATTTTATCAAAAGAAGAAAGGGTATGCGAAGACATTTTTGTCAAAACGACAGAGCAAAACGGAGACGGAAGATTTATAGTAAATTTACCAATACGTGACAACTTGGAAGAATTAGGAAATTCGTACTCAAGGGCATTGAAGCGATTTAACAATTTGGAAAATAGGTTGGCATCAAATGAGGAGTTTGGAAAACAGTACAGGGATTTCATGAAAGAATATGAAGATCTAGGGCACATGACAAAGATCAAAGATCATTTGACCAATGAAACACATAAGGTCGTGTATTACTTACCTCATCACGGAGTCTTACGCGAATCTTCACAAACGACAAAACTTCGTGTTGTTTTCGATGGTTCAGCTGAAACAGATACAGGTGTTTCTTTAAATCACAAATTAATGGTTGGTCCAAAAATCCAGGATGACTTGTTCGACATTCTAATCAGATTTCGTAAGTACAATTCCGTTATCGCAGCGGACGTCGCAAAAATGTACCACCAAGTACTGATAAAAGAAGAACACAGGGACCTGCAGAGAATTTTTTGGAGACCATCAATTAATGGGCATCAATCAGGCATGGACGGAGCACGCTCCTTAGTTTCCTTAGCTTAAGTTTAGTTGTTTGTAATAACGTAGAAAAAAGTAGGCTAGACATGTCATGTTGTAACGTTTGTCAACAAATATACAGTCCACTTTAAGGTCAATTTATTTACCACAAAACCAAACAACTACCATAAGTTTCATCAAAATCGGTTATAAATAAGGATAGTTTTGTAACTACTCTTAACAGAAGCTATGCGAATTTTTTTTATTCCTTTGAATTATCAAGCAAATAATTATTTTTTAATCAATTGGACTTTTTTGAAGAAAAAATGTATTTACTTTTTTTTTCTGCGTAGTTTAGTCAGAAATAATTATTTTTTAAATAATGTATGGCTCAGAGCAGTAACTTTTTTTAACATTTTCACATAGTAGGCATCTTTCATAATGACAGTTTCATTGTAATGATACTCAACTTCGCATTTCATTCGATTTTTTTACAACCATGCTTTCACTAACCGTGAATATGCCGATACTCTCTTTGAGCCGCCACACTATTTCCATTACAGAAACCATAAATGAAATGCATATCGGCATATTCACGGTTAGTAAAAGCATGATGGTTTATGGTTGTAAAAAAATCGAATGAAATGCAAAGTTGAGCACAAAGATCACAACTAAGAAAATAAAGAAACATAACAATTTAAATCATAGCATGCGAAAGTGACAATCATTAGAATCATTACAAAGAAACTGTCACTAAAAAAGACGCCTACTATTTGAAAATGTTAAAAAAGTTACTATTTTGAACCATACATTATTTAAAAAATAATTATTTCTGACTAAACTAAGCAGAATTCGAAAAAAAAAGTAGGGACATTTTTTCTTCAAAAAAGACCAATTCATTAAAAAATAATATTATTTGCTTGATAATTCAAAGGAATAACAAATTCGAAAAATTACTATTAAGAGTAGTTACAAAACTATCCTTATTTATAACCGATTTTGATGAAACTTATGGTAGTTAAAGACCCTTATGGTATAATTATTACCTATAATTTTCATTCCGTTATCTTAATCAGAGAGAAAGTTATTTTAAAAAATATTCAAATGATAAGACCCCTTTGGAGGGCCATATCTCAGTAACCGTGCTGCGGAGGACCAATGTTTATAGGAACTTTTTATATTACTTTTCGCTCTACTTTCACCCTCTTAAATTTTGTACCAACTTTTCCAAACACCCTGTATATAGTGCATTCATAAATGCCCGTGACATTGGGGAACATAGTCTTTCCTAAAACCAAGCAAATCTTTGGACACAGTTTCATAAAATGTAATTAAAAATCCTATGTCATAATGTCATTAGATAGTATAGATACCTACAATTTTTTTTAAATTTGCTCACCCAATGGTCAACTGCGTTTCTTAATGTCTCGGACATTTATGAAGGCCCCGTACATATATTAAGGATTTTACACACTTTCGCTTTTTTCGTGATTATACCTTTGTTGCTACCAATCGATCCTCTGATCATTTTCATGTAGTGCGCTCTCTTTCATGTTTGCTTCCAGATTAAATAAGTCGATAAGTGACAGGATCTGATATCACTATGATGCAGAATAATATTAGATATAGAATGACAACAAATAATAAAATTTGGTAAAAATTCTATAGAATTTTTTTGAAACACCAAAATTTTGCGAGAACGCTATTTATTGCGATTTCGCAAAAATATATTCGTATTCGTTCCAACACGATTACATATTTCTTTTATGATTTGAGCCAGCTAAGTCCCTTTCAGATGTCAACACCTGGATACTGAGATATAGCCCTGCGAATGTAGTTGTGTGGTATACATTCAGACGGTTATATTTCACTTATCTTTTTCATAGAATAATCGGAAAAGTTTGATTTTATCTATTAACTTATTGTGCTTTTGCAAACTATTTGAAAAACTCTGTGCGAGAGACAATACACTAGTGGAGATAAGGGGAACCCAAATTTCCATGATGCCTGCGACAATACAAAGCTTTATAGGTGCTGCGTCATTAAGTGCTATGATTTAGCTAGCAGATTTATGGTTAAACTAACTGAATTAAAACCTGTGTGAAATTATGACTATTACGAACAATTTCACACCACAAAATTGGAAACAATTGGGTCGGTTTATAATCAACAAAAAGAAGCATAAAAGTTTATCAATGTATTTGGGCTAGCAAAAGTGTTAAAATAGGGAATCATTTTATATAATGAACCACTAACGAATCAAATCAAATTTGTTCAAATCCGGAACCCGTTGGGGATTAACATTATCATTTAACAAAAATTAAATAGTGTTTGAAGTTGGAACTAAAAATGTACTAACGAAAATAATTACAGCACTAAGCAGCACTGATGAATGACAAAAAAATACTTTAGATCTGAAATATTTTGTTGCTGTCTTTTAAATAAAAATAATACCTAATCAAAACTCGTAACTTGAAAGCTAAGCAAGCACGGAAACGATTAAAGTATTAAAAAGGCAAGCGCTAAAGAATTACGTAAATTTTTTTGTTCTAAACATGAAAATCAATTAATCTTAAAAATAAAAAAGAAATATGAAATATATGCATGTACATGCTAATGGAGGCGTATAGCTTATAGAGTAGTTGTTTCCCTCAATATTATAAGTTAAGAATTTTGTCTATGTGTTTAGATATCTTTTGCATAATCAGCTTTTTGGGCATGCAAACTTTCTCAGTTCAAATAGGGTAAACTCAATGCTGTATTCATTTTTAGTTTAGTATTACTATCTAAGTATCTTTAAGACAATACATATGTATATACAGGATCTATATAAAATATTTGACAAAACTTTATTAGTAGATTCTACGTCATGAGTTCAAGTTCCTATAAATACGCGTTCGCGTTCGAAAATGGTTAATTTCCGATATATAGGATGGTGTAGTTAGTATACATGAAAAAAATAAGATGACAAGTTTCCATACATTTTTTTTCCCACAGGCCCTTCCTATATGTGTCCCTGAACGACGCCGCTGGAAATCGGTTTTTCTTGAATAACTTTCAAAGTACTTAATATAATTTAATAAAAATTTGTGGGCATTAGTATATAGTCGTGATATAACCTTTTGGCTTGTAAAGCATTGCAAGACGCAAGACCATACATGAGATGCATATCTGCATACTCAATAAACGTGTATTTCATATTTCGAATTAATTCATAGTTAAATTAACACGAAATCGGTAAATTAATAACGAAGTAAAGGATCAATATGTCAGCGATGTCACTGTTGTCGAGAAAAAAAAAATAGAATTCATGGCCCTTTTTATTAAAAATAAAACATGAATTCGTTTATTATTGTTTTTCTCCTAAACGGTTCATTTTATCGATAATAAACAATAGTACCTGTTTTTTAGTCTAAGGTTCAAGCTATCCAGATTTATTATTTTAGTCTTTATCATACAGGGTGCTAAAAATGTAGGCATTAAGTTGTAAAGCTTAGCCCACCCTTGGTAAACTAAAAAAGCTAAATATGTTTCAAGGATACTATTTTAAGAGGCCCTTACTAGTGTCCGTCACATAAAATTTTTATTAAATTATATTAAGTACCTACTTCAAAAATTATTCAAGATTTCGAGCGGCGTCCTTCTTCAGGGGCACATATCTCCGTAGGGAGGGCCTGTACGAAAAAAATTTATAGGAACTTGTCATCTTATTTTTTCATGTTCTATCTTCACCCGAGATATTTCCCAGATTTTCCTGGACATCCTGTATTCATATGTAAATGAACAAAACGTTAACAGTGGATTCTACGTGCGATAAATTGATAAGTAAAGTTCCTATAAATATGTGTCTGAAAACGTTAGAGGTACTGGGTGTTCTAAATTTATGGAATTTATTTCGTTACAAAAAATAGTTTAGGAAAGCTTTGTAAATAATTATTATTAATATTATTTTTTTATGCATAACGTGGCTACTTGAACTGTTGTTATTCCAAAAATAGCATGATGGCCACGATACTTTTAGCAGGAATCATATACAGATTTTGTTTATACCAAGAAGGCGATACATCCAAGCGATATGGAATAAGCTTAGAACTTTTAATGCTTTATAATAATAGCTAGTCCAATTTGAAATATATTGGAGGAAAAGAAAATGTGAATGTTTATGTAAAAAAAAATAATAGCGTTTACATTTGTGAGCAATCCAAAACTAAACTTTTATTTATTTTATTATTTTCTTGTAATTAAAAAATATTAATGTAATTCTAAAATGCAACATTTTTGGCTTATGTAGGAACGTGTTAGTGTAAAATAAAATTAAAATCAATTAAATTAAGCTTTCAGTCAGAAGAATAAGGTTGTTTTGGTGAAATGTTTTTGCCTAGCGTAAAATCTCTCATTGAAGTAAAAAAAATATGCAGCTAGGTATATATATATTTATTTGTATTTGTAAAATTTTTTGATGTAGGTTCGCGTAAAAGTTTAATTAATTTTCCGCGGTTGGCAAAATACTCAAATAAGCAGGGATTTCTTTAAAATATATCCGAAATATCTGATATTATGTATATGTTTACCAACATAGATAACACATTTGTTTAAAATTGTAAGATAGAAATAAAAGTGTCACGTATTTAGTGTTTTCTACTTTCACTTTCATTTTATTACTTATTAATGTGTTAATTAAAAATATGTGTATAAAGCTGAATAAGAATATGTTAAATACAAATTTATCGAAACATTTGATACAAAAATATTTACATTCCAAAATATCATCAAATGCTGTTTTTAAAAACTGCAGAAGAATATAACCTCCATAACTTGTATGATATGATGGTATATTTGGATACCTTTCTAAAAATACCTGTGTTTCTTGTAAAACAGAAAACAACATATTTTCAAGAGTATAATTTTAAATAGCAGAAAGAAAAATAATTTGTTTCGTGAAGCAGGTATTTAAAGTTGGGAACTTCAAGCTGCAGATGGGTATTAAGTAGCAGCATTTCTAATTAAAGATTTTTATTTCTTCCATTTTTTTGCGGGTAAAAATAGTGCTCGGTAAATATCAACAGCAATTAACGCAACAGACCTGCTGCTTCTCAGAACTATACTTGCGGCGTGTTAAGTTCAGTTTTAAGTACAGTTATGAGCCCACGAACAGTTGAGAATTTAAACAGAATAATAGATAAGTATTTAAAAAGGAATAATATTTTCTACGAGGATGCACCCTGGGAAATTAAAGAGTCTACCTTAGGTGGTTTCGGTGTGTTTGCAAAACGTAACATAGAAGTTGGAGAATTGGTTTTCCTCGATACTCCAGTGATCATAGGTCCAAGGTGTGTGGACGGTTTACAAGAAATTTGTGTAAATTGTTTCAATGTCAAGAATCTCACGAAATGTGAGAATAACTGTGGGCTGTCTCTCTGTTCAGATTTGTGTCAAAACTCCTTCGACCATCAGAGAGAATGTAAACTAATAAGGTTTATGAGCAATAAAAAGCCTGTGGAGGATGGATCGTTGAAATTATTAAAGTGTTTGACTCCACTGCGGTCACTTCTATTGAGTGAAGAAGATAAAGAAATTGTAAGAAATCTGAAGTACCATAGAGGTAAAAATCATGGCCATGAAATTGATACGTTGTCAGATGAATTGTCATTTGAAATAAAGGAAGATGAAAAACATTTTCTAAAGATCGTTTGTTCTGTACTAGATGCAAATGCTTTTGAAGTTATCACTGGATGTGAAGAAAATCAGTCAGATTTACGAGGTAGGAATTATTTTAGTACACATTTATGAAGCTATCTATATAGTATTCACATTAAAAACGACATAAACAAGAACTTACCACATACGGTTACATCCATATTTCACACTATCTTAGAAAACTAGAGCTCTACATGTATAAAACAGACTTGTTTTAAAACATGCTTTATTTTAACCTGGCTTATGTTGTTTATTTCATACCAACAGATATTTTTAAATTTAAGTTTTATGCATCGAACTACTTACAGAGGCGCAAATGACGTAACTAAAAATAAGTAGGTATGTATCAATTGTAATTATTTTGGCAGTATGTACTGACAGGATGTTTAATTTATGTGATGGACCTATTCGATCCTATTGTATTCGTTGGGTGGTTAACATATTCTTTAATTAGCTCATAAATTGTATCACGTTATAATTTATACAGAAGCATAATTTCTTATGGTTAGCAACTGCTTAGTGTTACTGTCATAATTCATATCGGGACGGTTAATTAATTAATTAATTTATTTACATTTGGAAAATATAAATGATATTCTAATTACAGAGTCCCACATTAGAAATTGTACCATCTCTAAATCTAAAAATATTGTCAACATTTTATTTCAATTAAAAAATTTATAATAAAAAATAAATTTAGGAATTGTTTGGGCTGACAAATTTAACCATTTATGTTATCTAATTTTTTTGTTATCAAATGTAAAATTGAGATGTCTATTAAATAGAATATTTACTTATGTTGAATTCTCTATACAGGGTCAGTCATTAATAATGGTACACAGCTTAATGGCAGATTGTTAATGTCAAAACATAGCGATTGAGCTAAACATGCTTTAGTGAATTGTTGCTTCGTTTCGTTCTACAGGGTGTTTAAAGTTGAAAAAATATTTTCGATTTTTTGCTATATTTTAAGTATATTTGGACAGATTGTTATGAAAATTTGTAGTTCTACGTTTTTTGAGGTGGCAAATATGAATAAGCAAACATTGTCGGGGTAACGTCTAGGGGGCGCTAGTTATAGTGCCCTATCAATGTAAAAATATGTCTAACTTTTTATATTTTACAATTTTTAATTTTTGAACTAGAAATTTTTGAACTATGTTCAATCTTAAATAAAAAAGGTATACTTGTTACAAATCGATAAACTCAACCGTTTTCGAGTTACAGACGTTTCAATTTTTTGAGATTCGGCGGGAATTAAATTAGAAAATTTGCAGGTCATAAGATACCTGAATTATAAAAATTAAGACGAATATGACAGCAATTGAAAATTTTATTATTCATATCTTAAGAAATTATCAATCATAAAAGTTTCTCATAGCAACCACAAGCGACGTCAATGCACTTATTTAAATATTTTCTGATGTTAAATAATGTCCTATGTTGTTTGATAATATGAACTGATTCTTGAGTATTTGTCCATAGTTGTTCTTGACTATTAATAATGTCTTTGTAAACTAGAGATTTAAGATAGCCCCAAAAGAAAAACGTAGCGTATTTAAATCAGGACTACATGTAGGCCAATGTACTTCGTTAACGCGTCCAATCTAACTGTGCCGGTTTCTATTAAGATATTATCTTACTTCTTGGGTATAATGTGCTATCAATTTATTATGTTAATGCCTACTGCTTTGGAAAAAATAATTTTTTAAGTTAATTCCCGCCGAATATCACAAGAACTTAAAATGTCTGTGTCTCGAAAACGGTGAAGTTTATCGATTTGTAACAAGTATACCTTTTTTATTTAGAATTGAAAGTAGTTCAATAATGTCTAGTTAGAAAATTCAAAATTGTAAAATACAAAAAGTTAGACATATTTTTACATTGATAGGACAGTATAACTAGCGCCCCCTAGACGTGACCTCAATACTGTTTTCATATTCGTATTTGTCACCTCAAAAAACGTAGAACTACAAATTTTTAAAACAATCGGTCCACACATACTTAAAATATAGCAAATAATCGAAAATATTTTTTCAACTTTAATACCCTGTAGAACGAAAAGGGGCAACAGGCATGTTTGGCTCAATCGCTGTATTTTGACGTTAACAATCTGCCGTTAAGCTGTGTACCATTAGTAATGACTCACCCTGTATACGCTCAACATATTTGCTACAGCAAATGCAACATGACTACAAATAAATAAATTATATGTAAAGTACATTCATAGATTTAAGAGAATAATTACGTACGTCGAGTTGTCATCAGGTTCTTAAAACAAACAAAACAGGTCTGCATTAAATTGTATTTCAAGAATTTATTTCTGTTTAGACATTTTTATTTAGGTACTGCAATACATTACATTATTATTTATTATTATTACAATATAAAATAAAAGTAAATAAATAATCATATAATTAATATACATATTACAATAAATGTTATTTTAATTTCATTATCATTTGTTAATAACACCTCTCTGTAGAATTCTCAAAATGTATGCTCAACTCTTTTAACAGGGATATACAATTTTCCCAACTGGCTAACACGCACTTTGTTCATTTCACCAAGAATAGAGTGTAGTATCTACACCAACATTTAGAGTAAAACTAGCGCCAATTTTTATTTGATGCCATATGGAATTCAATATAAGGCGGGAGACCTAGAATTTGTGTCCTTAATTTAATGAAACAATTGTAAAATTATGTTTATAAATTTGAATACATCAAGTAACTTTCATTTAGTGTATAATAAAATAATAAAAATAAAATATACATCGCGCCCTCAATACAAGACCGCCAAAATAAAAAAAAATCGTTTTTGAGTTATAGTTGTAAATATACGAGGCTTCTTCGGAAAATAACCAAACTTAATTTTTATAAACTCTATTATCAATTTTATTGGTCCTTGTTTCCTCCCATATTCTCACACTTTTCCCAGCGGTGTTTCCAATTACTTTGATGTCATCCATAGTCTGAAAACCGTGTTCTTTCAGGACTGATTTTAATTTCGGAAATAAGAAAAAATCGTAAGGAGTCAAGTGTGGCGAGTAAGGAAGGTGAGGAAGGACAATATTTTTGGCACAAAACTGATATTGACAAAGCTGAATGTGCATGCGCAATGTTATGATGTAAAAGTGATATGATTAAAGTGAGAAAAAACAGTGAGCATCGCTTTGACACTGGATCGACGTGCTTTCTTGGTACGTGCGCCCGGGCGTGGAGATCCTTTGCTAATCCATTGTAATGAATGAACTTTTGTCTCAATGTCATATCCGTAAATCCAGCTTTCGTCACCCGTTATGATCCCTTGAATGAATGTTTCGTCATTGGATTGTTCAAAAAGTTGCTGACAAACGTTCACACGATTTTCTATTTGTTGTTCGGTCATCAGACCAGGAACAAATTTTGCTGCAAGTCGATGCATGTTCAATTTTTCAGTCAAAATATCATGGCACGACCCAACTGAGATACTAACCTTTTCTGCAATTTCTCTGACAGTCAATCGGCGATTGACAAGCATCACACTTTCTGAAGGTGAGAGTCATCAATTGACGAAGGCCTTCCTGGTTAAGGATCATATTCAATTGACTGACGACCACTTTCTAATCGTGAAAAACCATTCGTAACATTGTCTACGACCCAGAGCATCATCACCGTGAGCTTTTTTCAAAAGTCCAAACGTTTCCGTGAAAGTTTCACGCAAAATTTTACGTTGCATCGTCGTTCCAGAAATTCACACATTTCAAAAATCTCCACTAACACTTAAACACGTTGCGATCAAATAACAATATAACGAAAACTAAATGAGATCCAAGAACATGTGATTACAGAGGAGGTTATGTGCAACTCAATGCTCAACCTCATGTCACTCCAATAACGCCTAATTAAAAAGTTCACTTATTTCCTGAACAAATCTCGTATACGAGTATTAGTACATGTAATCTGTATAGTACTTCTACAGTTTATGTGCATGATCACTGTTACTCGAATTTTAATTCATTTCTAATTAATACATGAAATATTTGTTTTATATATTTTTTATATTAAATCTTTACTAGTTAGTATTTATACAGAAACAAATGTCTAATCAAAGATTACACATTTTATATTGAGACTAGCAAAAGGTTCTTATCTTTTTTTTTTTAATTTTCATTGATTGTAACAAAACTTTCATTATCTGAGTTAATTGTTTTTTGAGTTACAGTAGCCCTGTATTGAAGATGCAATTTTGTGATATATGTATAAGTATACAGTTCTGATCCAGATTGATGCAATTAGACAGGAAATCTCTCTTAAAGGAATCTTGTTTAGAACTAGCTCATTTCAGTTTTGAGTGACCTTAATTTTTTAACTTTCTAGGGATAAATTTAGCTAATAGAAAATTTTAGTGTCGTTACCGAACGAGCTTTATTTAAAGGCCTGGCAAAGCGTCGTGTGAGTTTATTTTAAAATTATTTGTTCGTTAAGGAGAACAATTACTTAATTTTCATAAATACGGTTATTTACCTAATATGTAACAATACGGTAACATATACTACAATCACCAATTAGTAAAGTTGCTATGAACAAAATTAATAAAAAAGGTATTTTTACAAAAATAAACAAATATCTGAATAAAAAAGTTATTCCTGATAAAAAAATCACAGTGCGTTACTTTACTAAACGAATCAAGATTCACTTAATATTTATTTCTCGAAAATTGGGGTATCAAGATTCCTCATAGACATATAAAAAATGGTACTATTTTCACTTGTTTTGAAACTATATTACTACTATTATCTATACAATGCATTAACATACATATTTCAGTGAAGTGTATTATTTATAAAAATATTGTAGTTTGGTATTCTACGTGCTTAATATTTATTTATTTATTTATTTATAATAATCAATGGTTGGACATTCATTGTTCAACATTTCGTAAAAAATTTGTTACTGAAATGTATCTATATCTAAGGAATTTGAGAAATTCTTATTTGCATAAATTGCACCAAGAATTTAAGTAACTAAATACAAAATGTGTGTACGTCTAATGGAGGTAATAATTGGAACTGGCCTTATGCCAGTTAATATTTCATTTCTAACATACTAGATATGAATGAAAGAATACATACACGCTATCCCAAAAATTAGCGCCAAAATTTTAACCATGCATTTAACTCATCAAAAAAACAACTTTTATTTAATAATCTTTATTCGAGAATCTCATTTACCTCTTAATTTTTTTAAAATTGTAAAGTTTGATACCTCTTCTGTAGCACAAGCCAAAATTCTTAGTTGAGTTAATAATAAGTAGGAAGAAGCGCAAACAATGGGAATTACTGCTAGCAACAAATTTTAAGACAGTGGATAACTCTAGAAAATATTAGCGTGCGTTACTTTGGTATTTCTTTTATTCATAGGTGGCTCGTTAGTATTATTTTAACAAGTGAGCTTTCGAAATAATTATTAAACAAAAGTTGTCGCTTTTAGCGAGTTAAATACGTTGTTAAAGTGTTGGCATTTATTTCTGGAGATGAATGGAAAATTTAAGTGCAATAAATTTCCTAATTTATATAAAATAAATTAGTTACCTATACTTAGAAATTATTATAGTCTCGAGTGGTGCATCCATGAATAGTTTTCAATTGACATAATCATATTACGCAACATGTGTCGTTATATTTACGACTGGTATTCCTATTTAGAATATTTTGGCAACGTGTTTTTGGCTACTGAAGAATAATTTACTATTCTTCACTGAACATACTTAAACCACAGGGCCTGATAAAGCTTGATTTGTTGTTCATATACTGAACTTTCTGGCACGTCTTGAGTACATAATAATGGTAGTGCATCGGTTTCGACAATTAATTGCATCATCGATTAACATTATCAGACGCTGAAAATTTCATGCTCGCTTCTTAACGACTAATAAATTATTCGCTACTGATTCTTCATAGTCACTTAATTGTTTTAAAAATTTTCACGGGTAATGGCATTATATCAACATGAAGGTCTTCAAATGTAAAAATCTCAATCTTTGTAGGAAACTAGAAATATAATTCTCTAAGGTCATTATTTGAAAGTGTCCACTATTGATAAAGCATTAAATATGTCTGAACCAAAAGTGATAAAGTAGAGAAGTTTCAGCAAGGTGGGTCTCAAACAAATACTGCTTAATGGTTGAACAACTATCGGGTAGTAAGTAGACACTTTGAAACTGGATATTAAGTTATCTGGTCATATTTGCTATATGCATTGGTTCACTATGTTTCATCACACGGTATGAGGTCATTGGTGTGTGACGTTTCGCTCCTTGATTTATTTACGAAATTATTCATTATATTTTTCCGGTTTTCTATTAATTTTCCGCAATCTTAACCAAGATCTTCTCACTGTCGCTCGAATTCTAGTATTACTTAAGTCTATGAAGTGCCCTGGATATGCAATATCCTTCACTGCTCCAACTACTGATTTGTTAGCTGTACACGGGATTGTCTATACACCAATCATTCGTGCATGTCGTCCTGGAAAAGGCTGCTCCTATCTTACTTGAATTGATGATGATTTCCTTTGAGAGCTGATCATAGGTGATGCAGTTTTTCGTCCAAGTGTTTGATTTGGTGCGAGTAGTCAGTCCCACTTAGATGCTGACTTTGCATCCTTTGCAGTATCTCTGTTCTACCAAGTTTATAAATATGGGTTGTTTATTGCATATTCAGTCCAAAGAACATGTTTTACAAAATAGTGCATATAGCAAAGTTGGGGAGGCCATTTACCCGATATACTTTATGAATCAATAAAAAATTTACAATTTTTAATTAAAAAACCTTTGTTTTCCATCAAAGTTACATCTTGCGTGATTTTGGGACACGATTTATTTAAGGCTAAACCTCTCCAAAAATTAAATAGTCATTCATGATAACATTAGCTTCGAAAAATTGTTCAAAAATTATTTTTTTCGTAATTACGTCACTTTTCAAGAAGTTAGATGTGGGGAAGTTTTTGAGATAGCCAAATATGAATATTTTGTATCTAAAACATATATGTATGTCACTAAGAACACTTTAAATAATAATCTTTTCGGTTTCGTCATATTTTTTGTTGCTTGCTACATTCAACGCTAAAACTGTTTATTGCAGTTACCACGTTAACGAAATTAAATACATTTTTATCGAAAAATGAAAGTGGTTAAATTTTAATAATGAGGCATGGGACCTATTCCGTTTGCTAGAGAACTTTCTAATGAATATAAAATTAAAATAGGGGCTGCCGACCCTGAGATTGAGATCTTGAAAAGCGTTGCACGCATGTGTGCAAAATATTTACTACATAGCTGGACAACTGTAGTCTCTAGCGTCATTCGCCACGTCGCCTCAGCGACTCCGAATACTGAATTCGGATTTTGCAATCGTCGTTGAGATATTTACCTGTTATCTGTGGTGTTTACAATAGGTTTTTGGTAGTGAGTGTCAAAAATGGGTAGTTAGTGTCAAAAATTGTTTGTGTGTACCCGGAGTTGATGGATATCGTTTTAATTTATGGTGAAGCATTTGTGTTATGGTGAAACAAGACAACATTTGTGTTAATTCGTAGAAACTGTAACAACGGACCCAAATGAGTTTACACATTGGTGGATAAAATTTTGAACAATTGTTGTAACATCGGGTATGTCAAATGATTTTATTAATTAAAAACACAAATTAATTTTATTAATTAATAAAGGCAAAAGCAGTTGAATTTGCCGATATAAAATAGGTGCTATAAAATTCTATTTACATATTTCTTTCTTTGCGAAAGTTTTTGTCCGTTTTTATCACACCGCCAACCCGGTCGCATGGTGCTAGATCAGGTTTTACAGTGGATCAGTTTCCAGTGCCGTGCAGAAGTGTATTTTTAAATCATTTTCGAACTGCCCTTTTTGATTTTTTCTTTATAAAATTGTATTTGTAAGGGTCCCCTGTACATCCAGAACTTTTTTTTGGATAAGTTCTGAATCACCCTGGATGTTTCATTTTAATTTTATCTATTTTATTGTAACATATATTTAACCTATGAATCAGTATAAATAAGGTTATTTCAAAATGCTTAAGGAATTCACTATTAATGGACATAGTTGCAGTGTCTTGATAGACTCTCTATTTCATACAAATCAGCTCAGAAAGATTTGAGTTATCAGAAAATTATATTATTGCTTCTAATTTTGGTAAGTGGAGTTGTTATGTTGAAGCCACAATAATAAATATTTATTCTTCTGGTTGAAGCTATGTGCAAGGAGGTGACTTGTCAACTACATTGCAAAATTGTAACCGTAGTCGTAGTTTGATATCTCTACTGATAAAAAAATGCATAGTTTGTTAATTACATGCACAGAAGGTATTGTTAGTTGTCTAATAACAATGCGTCTAAATTGGTGGGAAAATTTAAACAATAAACATATAAAAACAAAAGAAAACCTCTTTCTTTTGTTCAACAGTTGTACTAGGTAACTAGATATTTTCAAAGCTGAGAATATTAGATAAACACATTCAGATGTGGCTCAGTAGTCTGTCAAAACTTATCCCAAACCTATAGAACTTTCAGAAGGATATCCAAAACAATATTTCAAACCAGCTAAGGTTGTAAGATTGTTTTGGATATACTCCTGAACGTATGAGGGCAACCGAATACAGGATGCCCGAATGTTAATCATGCCTCTGCTGTACACATTAATTACATGACCGTACTTGTAATTTCGCGTTTCTACGTATTTCTTTTCGGGCAATAACCTTATTTGTATCAAATAATGTTAAGTTAGTCTTGAGGTTTCATATTGTTTAGAATGTATTTCTCCTCTAACCTATATTTTTCTGTATTAATATAAAATGATGATATCAGTTGAGTATTTTATTTTAGGATTGTATCCTCTTGGAAGCTTAGCAAATCACCGTTGCTTTCCAAATACTAATCATGTGTTCGACGAGAGACAGAGAATGGTTGTTAGAGCAGCCGTTTTCATACCAAAGGGTTCGGAAATTTTCCATTCGTATTCAAGAATAATTTGGGGCACAGCGATCAGACTATTTCACTTACTGAACACTAAACATTTCATTTGTAAATGTGAGCGATGCCTCGATCCAACCGAATTTCATACGTACATGAGTGCTATTTATTGTACAAAATGTAAAGGGAACGTTGTACCGATAAATCCTTTGAATTCTGGAAGCAAGTGGGAATGCGATACATGCAAGCAGCTGGTTCCAGGAAAAGACGTCGGTAGGATTATGTCGCTTCTGGGATCCGTGTTAAGAGGTTTTGACAACAAAGATTTTAAAATAATGTACAAATTTCTGAATAATAAATTATCGAGCATGGTGCCAGATAATAACGAAATCACTGTGGAGCTTAAATATAAAATTATTTGGATTTTAGGACATGAAGAAGGATTCACTTGGAAAGGTAAGAAATTTTATGGTGTATGTGTGAAGATTGTTGGTAATTAAATTTGTTTACGTATAATAATTATTTGAGGCAAATTGTGTCGATTATATAATTCATTAGAAATTTAGCCTATAGCAATTACAAATTTTACGTAGTTACTATGTATTGATAAGCGATTATACTCTTGACGACGTGGTATAACCGTTTTGGTGTTTCGTCTCCTCCAACAATGTGAACTATGTCATGGTAACGACAGTTTTAACATTTGTCAATAAACGTCAAAAAAAAACAATAAAGTTAGTTAATTCATTATGTAATCGTATCGAATACCACTCGAGCAAACGAAAATATTCGATTATACTAACCTCCTCACTCGACGTATATCCTTAAAACACCACTCCAGCTACGCTGTCGTGGTGTTTCGCAGAATACGTCTCGTGACTCGGAAGTATAATCGAATATTTTCTATGCTCTTGTGATATTATAACTGATTATATGTGACTTCTTTCAAATTAAGTACGCATTATTGCCAACTTTTTATTAGAGATTCAAAATTGAATAAAATAAATCACATTCATAGATTAAAGAGAATCACTACCTCCATCGAGTTGTCAGCAGGTTATAAAATAGAGATGGGGTCTAAACAAGTCACACTTGATTTTACTTTAGGAATTTATTTCACCAGTTGTTTCATAGATTCGCCACTTCAATAATCAAACATATGTTCTTGGTTAGTTTTCTAGTCTTTCTTGGATGTTTCATCACACTGCAAATTAAAATTTTAAGGGAAGATAGGGAAATATGAGTAGAACAATGCATATTTACACTGGGAAAAATATTTTCCAATCATTATTTATACCCCTTTTCGGACCGCTTCTGACCGCTGACCCACAAAGATTTGTCGAGAGCGAATCTTGATAACCGTATTGTTCAGTCACTAACCTAGTTTTTACTGCCTTTTTAATGCGTAGTGAATAACAAAGAATAAACAGATCTTTTTACCTAGACGCATGAATGAATAAGATATTTTTGTACTACATATTAAATATTAACAAATATTATTTATTTGTTAATAAAAACAACTGTATAAGAATAATAATTGTTTTCCAATGTTAGATTATTACAATTTAGTATTTTTAATATTTATGCAGGCACCAGTGAGTCTCCCATATCTATAATCAAAAGTCAACGCCTACTGAGATGTAGCCCTCTCAATGTAGTACCGCCAAAGAATGTTCATTTAACTTTAAAACGGTTTGCGCTTGAGACTTTTTACTTGATACAGGTACATCTTTACACTGTAAAAAAAATTAAATTCACTCAGTTTTACTTAATAATGTATCAATTTCTGTCTACACCCGATTGAGTGAAATTTTCACTGATGAGTACAACTAAAATTTTATGAGTGAAACTACTACAACAGAAGTGAGCGAATTTTACTCAAAGTGAGTGACTTTTGACTCTATTCTGAGTACGCAAAAAAATTAAGAGTTGACTTTTTTTCTAATATGATTTAAATTTAACTAGGTACACTGTAAATAGATCGGTCTGAGTGAAAACTGAATGAATCCATTGAGTGAAATTATTGAGTACATTTTCAGTCAATATTGGGCATTTTGATAATTTTACACATTTTTGATTATATTTGAATTAAAAACTGATAGTTTCACTTAAAATTTTAGTTGTATCTACTCTTACCAATAGAGGAAAATTTCACTCAATCGGGTGGACATAAATTGATACATTTATTGAATGAAATTGAGTGAAAATAAGTCCAATTTTTTTTACAGTATATTATTGAGTAATTTTGTACTATGAAAATTTCCAAGGGGTAAGACGCCTCAGAGCTCCCCGCGCACCAGACGCTGCTGCTGCCATTTCTTTAATATTTGGAGTTGTTTTGCACCACTTTATATTCTCTTCAAATTTTGTAATAAAGTCATAAAATACTAAGCTGCCACAGTGGTTCCTACACAGAACGAATAGATTGCCATAACCTACAGGGTGTTAAAAAAAGAGTGTAAAATATTTCAGGAGGTAATAGTATGAACCAAAATAAGCAGAAAAGTCTTAATAAACATGGGTCCGCAAAGTAACGGTTGCGGAGATATGGACCACTATTCGTTTTTCAAACATTTTATTTTATTAGGAATAAACCGACAAAGGAAGCTTTTAACAAACAAAAAAACAAAGTTACAGAAGATGTTCAAAGTGCCCTCCGTCCATTTTCAAGCAGGCACGACATCTTCGTCTCAACGATATTCAAACTCTTTCGAAAACACCCTCCTTGGTTTGGATTTCTTGACACTTTTGATTAATCCGTAGCTGCAGCTTTTCCAGGCTATTTACAGGAGTACCATACACTAATGTCTTCAAATATCCCCAAACAAAGAAATCTAGAGGGTTCAGATCAGGCGATCTTGGAGGCCATAAAACAGGTCCGGCCCTTCCTACCCATCAATGTGGAAAAGTTTGGTGTAAATGCTCTCTAACGGCCATGGAAAAATGAGCTGGAGCACCATCATGCTGTAACCATATTTGTTGCCTCTGATTCAAAGGAATGTCTTCCAAAAATTCATACAGTGTGTTCTGCAGAAAGTTGAGGTAAGCAGCGCCTGTTAATTGGTTTGGTAAAACAACAGGACCTAGAAACCTGTCACCTACAATATCTATCCAAATGTTTAATGAAAAACGTGCCTGATGTCCAGATTCTATTAGAGCATGAGGATTTTCGTCGGCCCAAATATGCGTATTGTGGAAATTAAACACTCCATTTCTTGTGAACCCGGCCTCACAGTAAAAAGAATGTTTGCAAGAAAACGAGGGTCTTCAGCATCATGACGTAGAAACCAGCGACAAAAAACCAAACGTGCTTGATGATCATTTATTGGATTTAAGGCCTGTACTCGTTGCACATGGTATGGATAAAGCAGTTGGTCGTGAAGGATTCTCCAAACAAGAGGACCACTAATTCCTACCTCGGCTGATACTCTCCACACACTCGTACCTGGATTCTGCTCTACCAGTGCTAGAATTTCTTCTTCTGCTCTAGAAGTGGATACCGACCTTGGTCTTCCGCATAAATGGCACTGTTTGCTCAAGGAACCGGTATCACGCAATCTTTGGTGAATTCTTCCAAACATGCGTTGTGAGGGAATCTGGCGATTTGGATAAGCGTCAACATAAAGACGTCGCGCTTCGGTGGCGTTCCCATTAGCACGACCATACATGAAATGCATGTCTGTTAATTCTGCGTTAGAGTAACCAGCCATAGCGAAAGAAAACTTGTGCACTGAGAACAACTGTCAAATACGTACTGTTTATTTCACTAAACATCAACCAACTATTATAAGAAAATACACAACGTTTTTGCAGATTAAAAAAAGGGGCTAAAAAACATAAAACATTCCATATCTCCGCAACCGTTACTTTGCGGACCCATGTATATTGAAACTTTTCTGCTTATTTTGGTTCATACTATTAACTCTTTAAATATTTTACACTCTTTTTTTAACACCCTGTATATTAATCGAGACTCAATATATTATTGTTTTTAATTATTGTAATCAAACCACTGCATTTAAACACAATTTTCAAAATAACCGGATTAACGGACACTTGTCTAGCACTACACGCCATACACCACGCCACAAGATGACCTAATGGGGATGATGGGATTAGTCAAAGACAACGCATGACAATCATAGCATGGGGTAGGATCGTTCAATAATGAGGACATTTACTCCGATTTAGGTACAACTGTACCAAATACGAGTTTGTCTGCAGAATGGTAACTATATTTGACTGAAAGGCGCTCAGTTTTACTTGAGTATATGAGTAAAATTATCAAAATGCTCAATATTGAGTGAAAATGTACTCTGTAATTTCACTCAGTGAATTCACTCTCGTACCTTTCTGCTTTCGATCACACCGATTTTTTACAGTGTAAAGTAGTTTGCTGTTTTGGTTGTCAAATGTGACAGTTTAAAATTTATTTGTTTATATACTTTCACAGACGGGTTAGATATCATATATTATTATGTGTCACAGATAACACCAAAATATTTATACATAATATTATTTCTTACTTCGTCACTGAGTATTCTTATTAGCACACATATGTTTAATACTTTCTCATACTTTCATGTTGTAGTTATCTACTTATTCTTGGTTCACATGAACTGCTGAAACAAGGATTTTGCAAGAATCTCACCTAGTAATTCCTATATCAGAAAAATTTACTTGTAAACTGATTCATAGAAAGAGAATATTCCACTCATTTGTTCTGGGATTATTTAACATTTTTTATTTAAAAAATCGAATGTAAATAGTTAATTCACGGAAACATTTTTTAAATTAATGCTGTCCGAAAACGAGTGACGTCATTACACTTAGATTCGATCTATACAAGGTGTCTCATAATTAGCTGCCAACCCTGAACAGGCCGATTCTATGATCAAAACTAAGTAAAAAAGTTCATATGAACATGGGTCCGGAATTGCTTCCTAAGGGCACAGGGACTCATTGAAGAGGGAGGAATGGAAATAATTTTTTTGCAATATCTCTCAAACGCGTTGTGATAAATGAATGAAATTTGGTATACACAGCTAAATTTTGATGAGCAATTTGATGGACTAATCCAGGGGTCGGCAACCTTTTTTGGCTGCGGGTTAAAATCAACCACAGTGTGAATATTAAAGGGACGTTTAGGTCAGTGATACATTTTATTAAGAAAATAATTACGATACGCTTTTAAACTTTAATTATTATTATAAAAACTAATAAAATTCTAATTATTATAAAAACAAACATAGTTGAATGAACTTTATTTATAAACGTTCTCTTCGATATTTACGTAAGGGACGAAAATGGCGCGGCGTGTATCGTTCTTTCAGCTGTAGCACATGTTCAGTAGCGGAGTGACGCATTACGCAGCTAAATAATTATTAAGCAGTTACCTAAGTGAAATAATAATTATTATTTAAAAAAATATATTGCCATGAACAAACAAAAAGCAA